AACCTCCGCCCCACGGAACCAAGAGGGCCTTCGAACCCTGTGCAGTTTGGATAGATTGCTGCGGCCCCTTTGGCCCGTCGTGGCTCGGCGACTTTTCCCTATGCCGCGTTTATCCTCGTAGTCCAAAGGTCCCTAAATGTAAATATCTATTAATAGCATACGCGACAGGGGAACCGGGCACGACTTTACCCGACAAAATGTTTGCACCTTGTTCCAAGAAGAAAGACAACCCGCTGTTCGAAATCCCTTGAGGCGGTCACAATGGCAGCAATTCTTTATTATTATAGCACCTCGTCAACACAAGAAGACGGGAAACCAACCACAGATCAAGAGCGTGGTGTTTTTGCAGCACTAGAAAGGGTCGGGCTGTGTATCATGAATATTAGTATTAGTCAGCAGCCAGAAAATCTAAAGCGTCTTCCGAGAGCAACGGCAAGTTGTTTGGTGCTGAGAGGCAACTTAGGGAGTGGGAGACGTCTGTATTTTTTTTTTGACACAAGTGTGCAGATTGATCTCCGACCGGAGCGGTCTTCGTTCCCTTCCGCCGCCCGCGCGCCGATACTGTTGTGTCCTATCTCCATGTTCCAATAAATCAACTGCTCCGTTTCGTGGAGTCCTTTGGTACCACTCTTTTGGAGACTATCTTCACGACTGCCACGATTGGTGCTCCGACTACGTACTTCCGTCAACTACAGAGTAACGACGGACCCTCCAGTCTGATTCTAGTTCAACTGCAAACAAACTTTCCAACCCTTCAACGTTTACAGCAACGCTTACTTTCAGTCCAATATTCCAGTGCAACCCCGCAAACAACCATTCCAAGACAATGTTGACGTTGAGCAGCAGTCGGCCCAATCAAATTCCTTCCGACTCTCTCTGCAAACAACCTATAGTAACGTCAACGCGTTCGGTAACTCGTTGCGCACGCAAGTATGCATCCAGACATCACTCACGAAAATACAACATTCCCAAGGCAGGGCTGCCCCTGTGCATACCTGCCTCGACCACAACCACAGCAGTGATTACCCACTCCCCAACTCATCCGCCCCGGGCCTTCACTTTTTGGGGAAGCCTTGCATGCATACACATGACGGTGTCCTCCAACATGCGCAGCCTTTTTCTCCGCCGTACCGATAGGCCGAGGAAAAGAGCGGAAGAAGGTTACGTGCAAGACGGCACAACCACAGGGGAGCAGCGAGAGGACCCGATTGTACCGAATCAAGAACTCGGCGAAGGTGAGCATCCGGCCCGTCCCTACCCACGCTCACGTAGAGGGGTCTGTCCCACGGCAGGGTTGTAGATAGACCATGAGAGCATGTCCACCTAACACCATTCATTGTCGGGAAGTCTGGCCCTTGCACCTCTCCCGGGAGTAGCCTGGTGCGGGGAGGAACCAATACACACGTTCTTTTGAGGCTGCCGTACTATATACGTGGTGGCGTTGCTCGCATTTTGTTCCCCTTCTGGAAGAACTGTGTTCTTTCGAGCCTGCTTGTGGTGTTGCTATCTCTTCTTTTGTTCCCCTTCAGTTGTTTTTGTTGGAGACTGCTGTTGTTGCTGGTCTATTGTTCCCCTTCTGGAAGAACTGTGTTCTTTCGAGCCTGCTTGTGGTGTTGCTATCTCTTCTTTTGTTCCCCTCCAGTTGTTTTTGTTGGAGACTGCTGTTGTTGCTGGTCTATTGTTCCCCTTCTGACCCCATATCGGTATCATGCTGTGATGGCCAGGAGCCCTGCATCGTAGATATCGTCCACCTCTTCTACTTGAAATGGTAGGAGTGACTTGACATACTCCGCATTTGTACACCCACGAGCCCGGCTGTCTCACGGCTACTGTACATGTGCGAACCGCGGAGAAATTCCTCCCCCCCCGTCTACACCGCGACCCAGTCCTGTGTACAGAACACCGGAATGTCGATGCTAGATGGTGTAGCATTCCCGCGGCACGGCTCGCGGGTCCCACCCACGCCGTCCAGCAGTGTGTCATGCCTCAAAACATCAATGCGTGCAAAACAAGCGTTGGTGTTCTCGTCACTGCGGGTCGAAGCACAGCAAAAAAGCAGCCTTGGATTTGGTCAGCGTTGAAACGAAAGGATATTCGCCCGGTGAGCGCTTTTTTTTTTCGTTGAGACAAGATGCTGCACACCAAATCGCAAGAAGACTGCACACGCCAGAAACGGCTGTGATTGCTGAAGGCGTTATTATTTGTGGAGGGTTCGACTCATGGTCTGGCGCCACCCCTAGGACAGATGTTCCCAGCGGAGCGCGGCGATTTCCGTTAAACATAACAAGGGGTCGGGACGATCTTTATTTGTTTATTTCAGTTCTTTGTGCGTATCTGCTTTTTTAATTAGTATCTGTTATGTCTTGTGTTCGTCTTTTTGGTTCAATCAAAACCAATGGGCGAGAAATACAGAAATGCTGCGTGACCGCTTGCCGTTTCCAGCCCCAATACTTTCCGGCCTCAAGCACGCTCTCGTCCCTTCAACACAGTTACCCCCCCGTTCACCGGAAGTGAATATTGCGGCAAAACAATTTTCGCCCCTGCGTCCATCCGTGTCCGCGTAGTGCATGCACGGTGTTGCGGACCGATCCTCAATTCTAGTTCTCTGGTTCACGGCGTTGCGGACCGATCCTTAATTCTAGTTCTGGTGCAAATGCAAACGACCCTTCCAACTTGGAGAGCAAAACTTTCAACCTTTTTGAGGGTACTACTGCATATGTAGTACGTTTCCTCCACCCCTTGAGGTGTTGGTACGAGCAGCGGACATCCATCCTTGATGTAAGGCACTTTTCCAGGATCAGCGAGCTACCTTGTTGTTTTTCAGGCAAAGAGAGCTGGGCAATTGATTTTTGGGAATTCAGGGTATGGATACGGGCAGGGGGAGGGTGACGTACAATGGCGGTGCATACAAAAAAAAAAGACGAGAAGACGTGGTCCCGAAAACAGCTGCAACGGCGTCCCGCATGTGGCAGCTCGTTTTTCAGTGTCGGCTCGGGCGAAGGGGTTCATGCAATCCCGCCCGACCGCCGCAGTCGATCGGCTCATCATCATCATCGTTTTTCTTAACAAACAGAACAAGGGGGGGGGGGCAGTGCACATTCATACACTAGAGAGCGACTGTGGCATCTACCCGTCCGAAGGAAAGTCAAGGGGTTGGGCGTCTCCTGACAACGGAGAGCGGAGAGGGGACACATGCCTGCTAGATACCGTGCTTGCCTTAGTGTACACCGCCCGAGAGAGCATGTATATGCCAGCAACAAGAACAACAGAGTACAGCCAAGACTATGTTAACAGTTGAAAGTGCAACGGCAGAAGACTGCGCTGGGTCAACGAGCAATAAATCGCTTCCGGTTTGTCGAGAGCTACCAAACTTCAAGGAGAACATGTAGTGTTTTGCGACAAGTTGCTGGTGTTGGCCGTTTTTTTCGTTTGTGCCATTTTCATAGTGAGTCACGTCCCAAGAGAAGGCCAAATCTACATAGAATCGAGTCCGACTTCGATTTCAGATTTCGAGTCGGCTCTACGCAAACGCCCACGGTGGTGTATCGAAATCGAAAATGGCAAACAACACAAAAAAGGCCCTGAAAATGACCGTTGCAATGATCCACACCATGACCGCAAGAGACACAAGGGCATCCCAGACACCTAGCGATAGTTCCGGATGTCTGCCGTGATCGTGCGTGTTGGAGATGTCACCTTTGCTTCGCACCGATGCCCTGCGAAGTCAGCAAGCAACATGTGTCATGCAAGTACTACGGTAGGATGCAGGAAAACCGAAAACGCTGCCGTTGACAAAGAACGAATTGTTCACGTTAATGACTCTCAATTCAGAGCAGACCTCGCTCAGAAAGAGTATGCTGTGCTCTGCTCGATGCCAGCTTCATGCAAACATTCTGCTTGCAACGCGACGCGGTCTGTAGGTGGCCACATCGACGAGGAGTGAAACGAAGGGATTTTTCCGACTTCCGGAGAGTTTGGCAAGCAGCTTTACTGTTGACAAAGAACTTTGATTTTCCCGTTCATGCTTCTCGATTTTCGATATTTCAGTCTGTTCGCCGTCACAAGAAGAAGCGTTCGTCTAGGCCGTTCGGTCTCTGACGGAATCGCGACTCTTTCGGTCGGTCGATGTAGCGAGGGAAATCAACGACCATGACTGCCGTCGCCCCCACCCTCGCCACGCAATCACTCCCCCCTGGAGCAACCAGAAGAAAGAAGCCAGACGCGTGTATGACGCCCACACAAGACGGCGGTGAACACACCAGCCGCCGCCCATGCCATGCTGGGTTATTTGCGAAGCACTTAAAGAAACGGGCACGCTTTTTTTCGTTGTATTTTCTGTGCCAAAAGGTCACGACGTCGGTCGGTTTTGTGCTGGTTGCCGGCCACACCGGCCCACGCAGCGGCGGCAGTGTGTAGGTAGTCGGCCTGGGACGGGCAACCGTCCCGCCCGTGCTACGGGATGGAACCTCCTTCTCGCAGGAATTGCGCCCCGTAAATATAGTACGCGTGTAGTTCGTTATATATATATTTTTTACTGCGTCATCTCGGCACGCCCCCCCGTCATCATCGATCACCGGCCTCTCGTTTCCAGTTGCCAACCGCACACCGTGTTTGGCACGGTACTTTGTGCAACAGCAGCGGTTCCTGTATCAGGCTCCCCATAGTGCCAAGGATGTCGTGTCAGTCTGATGACTGATGACAGCTCAGCGCTTGAGACAACTTGAATGTTGTTGGTGTTTTTTTTTTTATTCGAGAGGTATTGTAGGGTGCAACCTGAACGCCGACAAGCCGGACCTGCGCCGGGGCCAGTTTTCGATTGTAACCGTGAATCCGTGTGCCATCTCTCAGATGCCCTTGCAATTGCATCGTCGCGCTCTCTTGGGCTACATGCCCGATCCTTTCTCAACCCCCCCCCCCCCGTTGTCCGCGCGAATTTTTATCGTGGTGCGTATACAGCAAATAGTTCGCCTGGTGTTGGCGACTCTCAGGACCCTCCACCCATGATGAACGCCATGCGCGAGACCGCCTCCCCAGAGCCCGAGGCCGGAAGGAGATCGACGAGCGTTGACCTACTCTCCTCGGGGACCCTGGTGCCAACCATGTTCGGCGCGCCGCCGCCGCCGCCATCGTCTACGACGATATCGCCGTCGGCGTCCCTGGAGGCACCGCCGGCGGGCACGGCGGCAGCGGTGCCGGCGACGACGGGAGCTTCCGCCGCGGCGACGCCCCCGACGCCGCCACCACTGCCGCCGCGCCCGGCGGCGGCGATGCAGGGTCCCGCGAGCGCCGCCGTCGCGACGCCACAGTGGCCGTGGCTGTTGCCTGACCGGGATGCGGCTGCTGATGCGGCAGAAGCGGCGGGCAACGGGACCGATCTTTTGCTCTCGTTCTCGCCCGCGGGGTCTCCGAGCAGGAGCCCGATCGAACGAGGGATGGCGGTCTCGGCGGTGTTGGCATCGGTGTCGCCGTCGGCGGCTCCTTCCTCGCACGGAAGGGGATCGTCGACGCCACCTCAGTTGAGGGTACAGGAACAGCAGCAGATGACGAGGGGCTCGTTCTCGATACGAGAGGCGATGTTCGTGAGCGCCGCGGCGGCAGCACCAGCAACTTCGCCCGCCCGGGGCCCCGAGCGTGAGTTCTCGTTTTCGAGCCGGGACGCCGCGCGTCTGCCTTCGATCGGCGGCACTCACCCCGGATACCTCGCCGCGGCAGAAGCGGCGGGGGCTGCAGCGGCCGCGGTGGAAGCCGGAGAAGCAGCGGCGGCGGGAGCGCAGGCGGCGGGGGAGGCTGCCACGGTGTCAGACTTCGCATCTGGCGGCGGGCGCGGGCGCGCGGGGGGGGAATCTCCGCGGCCTCGCCTGCACGGACGGCTGGACGCGACATCGGCGGCGGCGGCGGCCGAACGCCCGCGAGCGGTAACCGCTCGGGGCGTGTCGCAGGAGGAGTCTCTCACTGCGGAGCAGGCGCAGGCGATCATCGACGCGGCGGACATGGCGGCAGCTGAAGCGGTAGTCGCGGCTGTCGAGGCCCAAGAGGCGATCGCCGTCGCCGCGGCCACGTCACCGTCGAGGACGGCGCCGGGTATTGTGGTTTCGGCGACGGCGGCGGGGACGGGGACGGGGATTGCGGCGGCGGCGACGGTTTCGCAGCCGGAGTCCGCCGTGCGGCGCATCTTGCGGAACGAGGCCGGCGACGACGGGGACGATGCGACGGCGGTGTCGGCGCCACCAGCGATAAGACGCGTGCAAGCGCCACCTCCGCAGCTAGCGGCGGCGATCCCTAGCGGCGGCGGCGGCGGTGGCAGCGGTGGAGCGATCATGTCGGAGGAGGAAGAAGTGGCGGCGGCAGTGGCGGCGGTGGCGGAGCTGGAGGCGAGGGACCGCCTGAATTCAGGCTCAGTGAACGTCGAAGTGGCAGGCCCGGTCGTCCAGCGGGGACGGGCGAACAGCGGCGCGGGAGGAGCCGGAACGTTGAGGTGTGTTGGGGAAATACTCAAAACTTGAACCGCCGTGTAGGACTATTTGCTCCGCTCGACTTATAGACCATCCTCTCGTGCCCGCCGCATCGATTGACGGTTTTATTTTCCAACATCGACGCCCGAAGAAATGACCTGTTATCTACGCCGCCGCCGCAGTTCGCGGGCCCGCTTTCCCTGGCGCGTGCGGCAGTTCGCCGTGGCCAGCGGTAGGTCGCCCAGCGAGGTTTGCAGTACCGTCGCTTTGATAATCCGCTTTCGTGTCTGTCTGTTTTGTCGCGGCAGGTGCGCCCTGTGCATGTCGACCAACGTGTCAGCCGTGCATCCTCCTGGCGGCAACACCCGTCGGAACGGCAACAGCAGCAGCAGCGACAAGAACTGCCGCAACTGCTGGAGAGTCGTGTGCGACGACTGCATCGGGACGTTCTGGGCCAGAAACATGGTGCCGCCTCGCTACGCCTCGGAAGGGTAGGTGTGCGCGGACACGCCGCCTGCCCGGAGTAGTAGAGGCGATGTGTCGCGTTGAGTAGTGGTCATGTTGTGCATACGGCAGAAGCGGCTACGGCTGTTAAAGAGAGGGTGGTCGGGACGAAGCCAGGACGCATTATCTTGTCAATCCCGGTTCTCTGGCGTGTAGTCATGCATGCCAGTGTCGCTATTCCCCCCTCTATCTTGTTTGGCGCAGCAAACGCAAGCATGATGACCAGCTTCTGGTTTATTCTTCCTGGTGAAACGTAGATAAGATAGCCTGGGCCGGCGTAAACCCCGGCACGTTGCGCCGTCCCGGCATTGTATAGGAATACTAGCGTTGTGAGAAGAGGTCCATGCTCTGACGACCACGGCATGCTTCGTTTTCATGAGTAGTACCCTACCAACCCATTCGGGAAGCATGCAACAACAACCATCGCGCTGTCGCATGTACCACGAGCGCCATGTATCATCACCACCCCCATGTTTGCTGGATATCTGGGAGTTGGCATGGAAGCAGTGGCAACGGTGGTGCACTCCGCCCTCCGCGTCGTAGTGGCAATCGAACCAATAATCATCTTTTCGCCCTACCGCCACCTCTTTTTCTGCGTTGTGCACATGCCATGTTCCCCTTTCGGGATTGTTTCCCTTCTCTTGTGACTCATGCATGCCCCCGTGTGTCCCCCCGCAGTGACGGTTTCAGGATGCGGGTTTGCAAGACCTGCAACGCGGCGATGGAGGCGTTCCGGACGGCGCTCCTCCTGGGGCGGGCGGAGGACGCCATGTCCGCCTATAGCACCGGCTGCGTTAACCTCGACCGCCCGTACACCGTCTTCCACGGCGAGGTGGGTGCCCGGAAACATGGCACGGCGGCTGTGGGTGTCCCCCTTCTGCGTGGCTGTGCCCCCACGCCGGTTCACCCGTAGCGGCCAACCTGCTCTCTTTGATGTTTGATTTTGAGTCGACGTGATTTTCCTGTGCCGAGAGAAGCCAGTCTGCCGATTTACCCACGCCCACTATCGCAGGCATTTGCCCTGTTCAAGTTATACGTCGACATGATTGTTCTACCTGCGCCAACAGATTACATTCTACCGGTTCACCCACCCTGTTAAGTTTTACGTCGACAAAATTTGTCCTGGCGACGCGAGAGAATGCATTCTGCCGATTCACCCAACCTATAGCGAGCACGCGCCGAATTTGACGCCGACATGATCGTCCACCTGGCAAGAGAGTTAGTTCACTTGCCGATCCACCAGCTTTGCTCAAGTTCTTCGTCGACATGATTACCGTATATGACACAAGATAACACGCGATTCTCAAAGCTCCATTTCTCAACAGCAGGAAGAGTCACAGCGCCAAAAACGGGGACGTTGGAACCGTCTCGTCGAGAGCTTTTCGAAAATGTATCATTTCGTGTATGCATCCTCTTCGTGGTGGAGTAATCGAGGTTTGAAAATCGGTTCAGGTGGTTGTGCCATACTGAAGTGTACGGTATTCTTCCTCCTCTGCCAACACATTTCACTCTTCTGATTCGCCCACCCTGTAGCGAGCGCCCGCTCTGTTACTGTTACATCGAGTTGATCATTCTACCGCTGCCATACGATTTCACTCTGCCGATTCACCCGCTCGATAGCGAGCAACCGCTCTGGTCAAACTTTGAGTCAACCTTGATCATTCTCATTCTGCCTGTGCTAAATAAGAGGATCTCATACTCGCCCGACAACCTGTCGCTCGCTTGTTAGGTGGTGTCTCTTTTCACTCTTGTCCCCCCCACCCCCTCCCGCGTGCTTTGCTTCCGCGCGACCGACCTGCCTTCGCGACCAGCTTCCCGTCCACTGCGCTGCAGCGGGTGGCAACGTGGGCCTCCTGTCCTGGCTGGTTGAGGAGCTGGGCTGCTCGATCTTCACGGACAGCGACAAGAAGGTGAGGGAGCTTGCTTGCGTTGCCAAAGCCCAGTGCCGGCCGCTTTGTGCTCTGGTGTCGCGGACGACCCGACGATGGGGTTGACGACGTCGCGGCTTCTTTTGCACGAACTTTAGAGAGGCGGGATTTCTTGACCGGAGCGGGGCGCCATGGCCGTTGCTGGACTGGGCAACGACGTAGCACGGAAGCGAGGTTTTGGTCCGAACACAAGTCCTTTCAACGTGTTGCCTTGTATCTGCACGGCATGGGGATCGAGTAGCAAGCGTCTAGTTTACGAGCGATCGAAACTGCGGCGGTGCAATTATTTTTTTCTTTATCGAAACACATTTGAGATCCCAGGATGTGCGATTTTATTGTCTTACGCTCAAGCACGACTAATCGTTTCTCAACTCTTGCGTGCAGGCAGTAGAGCTCGGGAAGTGTTCTTGATTTCGAGGGCGCAGAGAATAGATGCATTGAACAGCATGGGTTCGTCGATGCAACTCGACCGACACCCTGTCAGTCGACATTGATGTAAGCTTGACGATTTTTTCTGTTTGCCCTTACTCTCTGTCTCTCTCTGCTTCGCCCCCCTGCCCCTATCGTTACCCCTCCGTGAGCGAACAGGTGCCAATAAGGGACCTGAGGTCGCTGACCGTTCTCGGCGCCGCGGCGGTGAACGGGCAGGTGCAGGCCATGCGCTACCTGGTGAACCAGCAGGTGGGTACCACGCAAGCACGTGGTTGTGTAGCACGTGCTCAGACGTGCGGCCGTAAACATATGTCATGGACAGCTTCGTAAGACAGTGCCCTCAGCAACAACTCGCGAAATGCCTTCCCGTGGCCTGGACGGAGAATTTCCCCCTTTTTTTTTCTTTTTTTTGCTGCTCATTGCACAACCAGTTCATCTTCTCAAAAGATGGCGTCTCGGATATAATAGCAATGAAAGTCATGATCTTTACAAATACCCGAGCAGCATACACCCTTGTGTGTTTTTCCGCGAAGGTGTGCTTCCAAGCTTTGGCTTGGCTATCACAAGTTTTGGTGCTCGGTTTTGCCTTGAAACGTGCCACTGCGGGGTAGGGGGCGAATCACGTACGTCCGCTCATTTGCTTCTTCGTGGAGCGTGATAAAGTGAAATTTTCCGTGCTGATCTCAGAGGTAACGTAAAGGAAGCTTGAATTTTTTGTTTGCCCTGCTGTGTCTTCTTTGCATCTGTCTCTCTCGCCTCGTATTGTCAGGGCTGCTCCGTCTTGGAGATCAAGCACCTGCCGACGCTGAAGATAGCTCTGGACGCTTGTCTACATGGCTCCGCCAAGACAAGGGTGAGGGTAACAGAGCCCCTCCTCTCTTTAACCTTTTTTCACTTTTTCCTGATTGGACAACACGATATATGAGTTTGCGTTGAGGAGAGACGGTGCCTCGATGACGGCAGATAACAGACGGTCCAGGATGAAAACGCAATGATTTGATAACGTTTCATGCTCTGCTTGGATTTCTAGGTGACCCTCGAGTTACAATCTGGCGACTATGTCGTTGGTAGGTAGTGTTCAGTTTTTTGTTGCTGTGGTCGTGGTGGTTTCGCCGTCGCTGTCGCATGATGCAGCATGTGTGAGCCTAGGTATTGCCTTTAATTCCGTACAGACCTACCTGGCGAGGCTTCCGTAGAGCAGCAGGCGAACATTTCCACGGAATCGAAAGCGAAATGAACAGATGTGCTTGAGTTGCACTCACATCTTGCGTCATACGAAAGGTCTTATGATTCCACAGGCTACCTGCAGAGCACGGTCTTGGAAGGAGAAGATGTTTTGTGACGGAAATCGAAGCAGGATGGTACTATTGCCTCATCCACCCAAAAATTGTGTCAGGGCAAACAATATGTACCTTGTCGAGTAAGAGGGCCCGCGAGCGAAAGAGAGATAGGCGAAGAAATCGGCAGATTGAATGAATTTTGTAGGAGCTAGCCGCCGCGTCTGCTTTGGTTGGTCCGTGGTGCACATATCCTATGTGACCCCGGTTCGGTCGTCTAGCTAGTAGAAGTGGAGGATGGAGGCCAGAGGGGCAGACGACAGAGGGAGAATATCTATGTATATATATTTGTATCTGGCCGCTCTGCCATGACAACACGAAAGGCCACGACGAAACGGAATTGGCAACGCTTTAGCATTGCAGTGGCTGCCCTTTCACCGTTTGTATTCATTCGTCCGCCTTGTTCGTGGTGTAACCTGCGGCATGATCTCTCGATGGATCGGGTCAGGGAATACATTATATCGGTCGGACTGTTTTTTCTGCCTCGACTGAAATCTCGATTTCTGGTACACGGTTCATTCGTACCCACGGCACCGCCTGAATCGGTTTCCTCGATAGATACGGGCCGGACTGTGTTGCTGTGTCATCTAACAATCTTGATTTATTTCTAGGTTCATTCGTTCACACAGACTAACAGCTCGGGGGCGTTGCCCGAATCAGTTCCCCTATGTTCTGCCGCAAGTTTTGGCCTCCGACTCGTGCCTCTAAACTCACTCTCGGGTCGGATAATCATAAGCTATAAACTCACTCTCGGGTCGGATAATCATAAGCTTGTCGGATAATCAGCATCACCGCACACGAAGACAGCTCCACTTTTGTTCCCACGCCCGTTTCTGTGCGCCACGCCGCGTTGCTGATCGTTCTTCTCTTTCGCTCGCGATTTTTTTTTTTTTTTCCTGTTTCACCTTGGTGCGGAGCAGGACGCCGAGCGTAGCCGCTACAGGGCCAACGGCAACGACCCAGACCCCCTCGGAAGTGCCGGAGGCGTGTATTTCGGCAGTCGTTCAACGGCTAGCCTGACGACCGCTGCGGCAGACGAGGAGACGGACAACTGCTGCATTGTGAGTTTTTGGTGAAAAGCTGTGTGATGACAGGCAAGGTCGGCGGGGAAGACGGTTACATTTTGTTTTTTTGCCCTTTCGTTTGATTTGGGTGCCGCTTTACAATTGAACTCAGACAGCCATCAGTACAAGGAGCATCCCACCTTGCACGGGACGCGCGGGGGTGCTGGCAGTGGCTATTCTCCTCCGGGAGGACCCATCGAGTTTTGGGGCCCAGTCTACCGTAGCCACGTGTGGTAGGTTTCAAGACGGCCTTCGACCGGTGGCGCCCTACTACTTCATCTTTTGGGGGGGGGGAGGTGACTGTGTTTTTGCCTTCCTATGTGTTTGTCAGGCCCGTGGAAGCGTATGCCGCAGTAGACTGAACTAGCATGGCTGCGTCTCCTTTCTCACCCACCCAGCGGAGTTTGTTCTTCGTGGTTGCCCCCAAGACTTTCGTCGTGTCTGCTGCCGCTCCGTCCCCACGGTGCTACATCGTAGGGTTCTTGGCGAAGCCCCCACTCGCAGAGCCTCCTGATGAATTCAATACATTGTGCCCCCCGTGCGTTGTCCCCCCTCCCCACCAGTCCCGATTGTACGCCCTCACCGTACCCCTCTGCTTCATCGTCGCCCCCAATCTGCTGCGATGAATTCACTCCGCTGTGCCCCGGGCCTTGTCTCTCCCCACCAGTCTCGAGTGTGCACCCTCACCGCACCCCTCTGTTTCATCGTCCCTCCCCCCCTCCTGCGGTGAATTCACTCCGTTGTGCCCCCCGTGCGTTGGCCCTCCCTCCGTTCCTCCCCACCAGTCTAGATTGTTCGCCCATACCTATATACCCTGCTTCATCGTATCCCCATCCTCCTGTACCCCTCGGTTTCATCGTCCCTCCCCCCCCCTGCAACGAATTCATGCCACTGTGCCCCACCGTGCCTTTGGTCTCTCCCCACCAGCCTTGATTGTACGCCTTCACCGACCACCATGCCGTGCCCCTGTTTTGGTTTTCATCGCCCTTCCACGACAGGTGTGCTTCGACAACGAGGTGGACTGCACGCTCGTCCCGTGCGGGCACCACTGCTGCTGCATCACCTGCGCGTCGAAGTTCAGCCTCTGCCCGGTGTGCCGCACGACCGTCACCCACAAGATCAAGACCATTCCGGTTTGAAGCGCGACCCCCGTTCCCGTCCCGTCTAGAACTTGGGGCGGTTTTCCCATGGGTCGCGGCTGCTGCTGCTGCTGCTGCTGCTGCTGCTGCTGCTGCTGCTGCTGCTCTGCTGCTGCTGCTGCGGTCCCGTTGTCGGCAGAGCAAGATTCACGAACGAGTTGTTGAGCACCCGAGCAGGATGCGTGGTTGGTGGGGGTGTTTTCTGTCGGGCGTGAAGGCCAGGAACGACTCCAGCGGGCGATGTCGAACGATCTCCTCCAATTGGCACACGCTGCTGGAAGCTTCCAAAGGCTGAAGCTTGCTCTGCCTCTAGGATTTAGTACATGGGCGCCGCCATCGTAGTTCTCTCGGTCGGCCTGCCTTGCATTGGAAAATTTAACAACATTTGCTCTTTCGGCAAGGAACGGGCGTTGCATGTGGGTAACAAACTGCGTAGGTTTGGAATATGAAGAACTACGAGGCTTTGGGTTGATGGCGGGGTTTTTGTTGATCTGTAAAAGGGCGGGGCGTTTCATGTAACCAAATGGAAAACTTTTATGATGTAGATGCGGTTTGGCCAGCCCTAGGCGCTGGGTGTAACGCATCACGTGGTGTGTTGTTTGCGTAGGTCCGCTTGTTACCGCCCCCCCTGGCGGCCCGCGGAAGGCATGCCTGAGCCTTACGCTCCGCGTGGACGTCGGCGGAACAGCATCAAATGACCCCCCACCGTTAGAAACAATCTGGCGAGAGGCTGGGCGCAGATGCCCGCGGTATTGCCGTCATCTTTGCGGTGGCGCCATCCCTGGCATTTCCGCCATCATTCGGGTGGCGTTCATCTGTGGTAGTATTTTTTTTCTGTTTCGTTTTTTACCGCCTTCTTTGTGCCTGCGGTGTTCATGGCTAGCAGAATAGACGGAAAAGTTTCGAGTGTTTTTTTCGTTAACCACCGTATTTTGCCTGCGGTGTTTGTGGCTTAGTTGCTGCGGATTTCGGGAATAGCGTAGGCCGGTCACGGGAGTGCTTTGTCCTGTCAATTCTAGTAGGTCGGCCGCAGAGGTGCTTTGGTCGTGTCAGTTCCCCGCCTGCCTTGCTCACTGATTTGTTGTTTCGTCTCGAGAAGGCTAGTCGGTTCGAGCGACGGCAGGCCGTTCGACGGCCTTGCGCTCGGAGTAACGGGTCGTTCGGTGTGATCAAAATCAAATATCTGTAAGCCTGGTGTGTATTCAGCATGTTTTTTAGCACTTGTCGTTGTATAGGCTGCAACCCTTCGATTGCGGGTGTTGTTTTTCGAACGGGTAGTCTCTGTCATTCTATGTATGCATGTTTCTACTGTCGGGGATACTCCGCACGATACGTGGGCCCTTTGTTGTGTCGTAGGGGTTCCGCGGTGGGTAGATCAAATCGAGCCCGTGGTACCTCCATGTCGTTCGACCACGTTAGCACCGCGACCGCAATCCGGGCCTGCGTTGTTGCTTTTTTGCTGTCTGCATGTGATTGATGTCATATCTTCGTTCGAGTAAGACATGAAACACTGAACTGAATGAATGGGTGGTGAGGCACCAACGGTTTTCCCGCCAAAATCGTTCCGAGGAGGCTTCTATCTCTTCAGGCGCCTGCCTCCGGCTTGATCGTGCTTCTCCCTGGACTTCCATGGGCAAGCTCCTCACAGGCACGATTGCACTGACTTGTACCTGTTGAGGTTGAGGGTTTGGACCTCTCCTGCCGAGTGAAATATACCTCGCAATTTCAAAGTGCAAGCGCGTGGTGGGTCGTGACACACCACAGAGGGGGAAGAGGCTGGCTGAATCCTTGATTCGACAAATGTTCAAGACAAACACCGCAGGAAAAAGAAATAGTTCCTATGCACACGACACCGACAAACAAACGTCAAAGCTGGCAATAATGAATGATCCCGGCTGGTGCGTCAAGACAGAACAATACTTGTGGTGGGTATCCCGAAAGGCGTGGCCTGGCGCCAACAAACAACTGGGCGAAAATCAATGGTTGACGGTTGTCGCCCACGAGCTCCTTGATTGGGGCTCCAGCACAGGGTGATGTCCGCCCCTCCACAAAAAAACTGACGGTCCGACTGCAACGGAGTTGTATTAATGTTTAGTTTCCGTTGTTCACGTATCCCAAGCACACCTCTGTCACACACTTTTCTGATGCCCGGCTCCACGTTAGTCTAGGATCTTGACAATCTGTGGGCGAGCGAATCTGTGGTCTATCTAGGTTTACTTCTGCCCTTGTATCATGACGAGCACACTGCTGTACGTCTCTCTCTTCATAAAATAACTACATTCCAGCCACCGCGTCATGCATTTGAGACATCGTTAGATAACACACGGTTGATGATCGTCTCTCGGACGACTATTTAGTCAATCGGGAGGCGGGAACACAAATCCGTTAGGGAGTTGATTCGGATGGCGTAGGCAGTGAGAGGCCTGAATCCTTATCTGTCTCACAGGCACGTGGGTTGTTCGAGTCTTCAAGGCTATTTTCTGGATCGGTTAGCGAGACTGACTGTGTACGAACAGGACAACATCACATGTTTAGGTACACGGCGTGGACGCAATTCCTACTTCGAGAAATGCTTCTAACGCATCCTATCGCAGGACAGCTGCAGCGGAGATACACCAACTGCCTTCGTTATTAATCATGTTGCCCTCCATGTCTTTCGTGTGTGTTCCCCCCACCATTGCCAATTTGTGCAACGGGGAAGGAGCTGCCACATTATGTTTTCAGGCAACGGCGCCACGAATCAAGAAACAGTTCACTACGCGGCTTTTCAACATTCTTATTCTGAGGCGGTGTTCCTGAAATGTCTCCCCAGTCGGGGGAGCCACTCCCCTCTTTTTCAACATTCTTGTTCTGAGGCTGTCTTCCTGAGACTCCTTCCCAACGGGAGCCACTACCTATTTGTTTTCACTGGTGGGTTGAGCCAATGGATGGAACGTATGACCGATGAAATATTCATTCAACCACTCACGGACCCTGCGCAGTACCTACCTCAGTTTATCTTGATAACCTGTGGGGATGTAACCTTTGTGATAGGTGTATCCCTGGCAATGGCCACTGTGTAGTAGCAGTGTGCAGAGGCTCACAGAGTGACTGCAAAGTACACTTGTGTTGTAGACCAGATTATATGGTTGTATTGACGCTTAGTTGGCCGAAAAGTCAGAAGAGAGAAAGGAGAAGAAGAAGAAAGAAGAATACATTGTAGTAGAAGAGAGTGAGCGAGTGGGGGCGAGCCATCCACCATCATCGCGGAAAGAAAACACATATGGGCTATTGCAACGTACCGATCACGGTAATAGACGGTAACTCCGACCTATGGCAACGTTACTAGAATATCCTAAAGGACAAAGGTCCGATGTACCGTTCAATGTATAACCCGTAGGGGTGTGCATTGATCCGATTACTGAATCAACATACCGAAGACTATTCCGGTAACACTCCTTAGGTGAATACCTACTTACTGTTGTTTACAGCAGTGCAAACTCTAATGACTGACATTGAGTATTCCAACACAGCCATGCGATCTTATTTGCTCACAAGCATACGAACCTACCCCACTACCTGCTGTAGCGCGTGAGGATTGTCGCCTTCTTCCGTTGATGTATAGGTGGTTCGACTGGCATCTATCCCAAGCTAGGGTGCATTCGGTATCGGCGAATGCGCCCCAGAGAGGTGGTTGTCTTTCGAAGCATCCATGCATCAAAGGAAGGAGGCGCTCACTCCCGTCCCCACCGTTTTCTTCGCTTCAAACCTGAAGGAAAACGCTGTCAACGACATGTTGTGCTCGGCGCGTCCCCTACCTCAAGAAATCAAAACACCACCATCACCAGCAGCTCGGTTCACTCCGCTAAAGAAAAAGTGTCCTCGGTGATCCAGATTGCTATGGTATTAGTTGCAGGCATCGTCTTGGCTCTTCCGTATCGAAAAACTACTATACTCGGGGGACGGGAAACGACACTACCCGTGGTTCTACTTGGAACGGCCGCCTGCGTTTTTGAGAATTTTCGCTGCCTCCTCGAACTGGGACAGCTTGCTCTCGAGCTCCTTGCGCTTCCGCTGGGAAAGCGCATCCTCGGCCAGCCACCTCTGCAGGTCGGTCTCGTCCACCTTGTCCAGCATCCAAGTCACGAAGCCTTTGCAGATGCCATCCACGAGAAACAGGTGGACCTGCTTGGGGATACTGTCGAACAGCCGCCTGCAGACCACGTCGCTATACGCGTGCAGGATGACCTGTTTTTGTGCGAGGTTGGTAGGTGGGTGTGTATTTACCAAACGTTAACGCACCTCAATCGAGAGCACAAACAGGCGGCACAGCTAGGTGTGCGGGATTTTTTGCGAGGTGTTCTCTGTCGACTTCGCTCATTTGGACGGTGCATCACACCCAATAGCACGCACTATACTACGAACCTATTGGTACATGCTCTTCTAACAACAAAGTCGGGAGGAGGAGGAGGCGGCATGCTTCTCTTGCGCCGTGTTCATCCGCTGCTCCAACAACAAGCACAAAATATAAACCATGCACATTTCACGACCGTGAGATGCACGACCTAGTTCTACAACCATCCCAGCACACTTGCCTCCACCACCACCACGAAGAGAACATAACACCTTCACGTGCCGGGTGCGTCGATTTCATATCGCAACCGCTGATACAAACTGAGGGCGAGAGGTCCATGCCTAAAAACAAATACCTGAAGATCGCGGATCGCGTCGTCCTCACTCTTGGGCTTGGCGTCTATAATTTTCCAGATGAATGCTTCAGGGATGGTACCCACATCCTTCGCAAGTTCAAAGATGGTCTGGTTTTCCGTTCCAGAGGTAGCCTCGTGCTCCACCTTGCTCTTGCGGACGCGGCTCGCCATCTCGCGGACGTCACGCATGGTGTCTTCGTACGACCGGTCCTGGGTGAAGACCCACCCGAGCTCAGCCTTGACAATATTTTCCACCGCGCTCTTCGTGCTGGCCTCCTTCGAGTCTACGAATTGTTCCACGAGGTTGGTCTTGAGCTCGTTAAGCAGAACGGGGTGGGCGGCGCACGTGTGATCGCACAACTTCCCCAGCGTGTCTTGCATGAAGTCCTTGACCCCTTCGACCAACTTCTCCGAGCGAACACCGAGCTCCTCAGAGAAGATCTCGCAGAAAAGAGCACTGAACACGCGCCCGCCGAGTAGATTCGGCAGGGCCATGCCATCCACACGCTTGAAAGCGGCGCAGACCTTTTGGTGGTACTCATCCGTGAAGAAGTTGGGTACAACGTCCTGTCAACGATCCGTTGGAGGGAGCGTACGGGCGGCGGCGGAGGGAGGCTCAATCGAAGTTTTTAGAGGTATAGACTACTACGCTGTGTACATCAGGGCTTCGAACGCTTCTGCGACAGCACCGCAACTCCGGAACCCACGCACCGTGGGGATGTGTGGATAAACGTACAGCGAAACAGCAACTGTGATCGCGGGAGCCTTAAGAAATCTCGGCACACCCCACAAAGTCATTCCAGAGCCGTTGGTATTTCGCGTTTTTGGTCGTTCTTCCTCGCCGGGCGACAGGAGGGGATACGCATATTCCTTTAGGATGTGGTACTTGCTCGAGCCATACGTTTGTCTACTCTTCAAGATGTTCAACTCCAACGATCTTGGTCTTTGACTCTGAGGCATTCGATGTTGCGTACGGTAGGTGGGTGAAGTATACAATACGGTCGGTATTGGGTATTGCAAGAAGAGCGCAGGAGGCAGCTTGGGCTCAAAGCAGCTTGACCTCCTATTCCACTTTGAAAGGTAAACTACGCGGGGTGCAGCAAGCACGTTCTGGACGTTACTTGGGGCACTGGGTAGTCGGCCGTGTTAGGCCGAGAGAGAGAGATTGAGAGAGAGTTGGAGAGAGAGTGGGAGAAGGAAACTTGATTGGAGAGAGACGGTGGTGGTGGTGGAGAGAGAGAGGAAGAAGTGAGCGCAGCACGCACGCAAGCTTCATCGCACCAACCACGCCAAAAGGGTCCCCGTGACCGCACCGATGGTACCCTGCAACACACGAAATTCCCAACACGTATCCCCCTGGGATCCTCACGACCAGATACTGCTGCGAGTATATCTAACATCCCCCCTGCTCGCAACAGTTATTCACTGAAAACTTCGCGAACACTCGATATGTCAACCAAAATACATCTCTCCAAGAATATATGCCATCAATACTCGACCAGAATAACATAAGAGGGAAAAACAATTCAAAGGAACATGAATACTGCATCGCGCGTAACAAATACTTGGCGCGAGAAATGAAAGAAAACGGGAAACAAAACGAGAAACAAAACAAAACCAAAACACAACCAATCAGAAAAACAATAAAATGTTCATGCCAAATTCATTGCAAAATCACGGTGAGACTCGAAAGCGTCCTTCGGCAAGCTCTTCGTGAGAAAATCTGCACGCTGGTACGGAGACGGCACGTGCATCACCGAAATTTCCTTCCTCTCTACCAGTTCCCTGAGAAAATGGTGCCTTACATCTATGTGCTTCGAGTTCGAGTTTGAGATGGGGTTCTGCGCTAGTTGAATCGCCCCCTGGTTGTCCTCGAAGACGGGGATACACGGCAAGCCGACCTGCGGCAACATGAAACGCCAAATCTGCCTCAAAAACAAAATCTCCTTCACTATGTCACCAAGCGCGACGTACTCTGCTTCTGTCGTCGAAAGCGTGACGCACTTTTGCGTTCTGGAAAACCAAGACACAGCGCCTCCTCCACACGTCACGATTCCCCCTGATACCGACCTACGGTCTGCTGCCTTGCTTGCAAAGTCCGCATCAGCGTACCCCTGCAAGCTGAATCCTTCTACTGTACCCCTCTGAAACGAAATACCAAAGTGACTCGTCCTCCTCGCATAGCCTAAAATATCCATCGCTGCATTCCAGTGTACCAGCTTCGGAGATGCGCAATACCTAGCTACTGCCCTTACAGCATTCGCAATGTCTGGCCTAGTTTGAGTCGCCAGCCACATCAACGATCCTACCAGCTCACGAAACGGAAAGTCTGTCGCCACCTCATCCGCATCAAAATCAGAAAGCTTCACCCCCGAAGACATCGGAACGCTCTTACCTCCCACTACTCCATATTCTGCTGCTAGCTCGTCCGCGAAAGTCTGCTGAGAAATCGTCAACCTTCCGGTCTCCTTGTTCCTCTCGTAAAAGCACCCAGAATACCATCTCAACTCTCCCAGGTTCTTCACTGGCACGGACTTGTTAAGGTCGGCGCCAAACTTATCACATCTCTCCCTCTCTCCCACAGCAAAAATGTCATCTACATGTACTACCAAAATCAAAACAACACATCCATCCTCAATCAAACGAAACACACAAGCATCGGCCATGCACTGCTCAAAACCTAACGCCACTAAACACCTCTTCAGCATTGCATGCCACTGCCTAGATGCCTGTCTCAAGCCATACAGACTCTTGCCTAGTTTTACAATCATTCCAGATAGAGCTCCACATCCCTGTGGCAAACGCATGTACACGTCCTCCTCCAACTCCGAGCGCACAAAAGCTTGCTCAATATCGAAATGACACAAGTCGAGATTTAACTCGCACGCCAACGCAGCCAACATCCTAACACACGAAACAGAAACGGTAGGCGCGTACAGCTCTCCAAAGTCAATGTACTCTCTCTGCATATCACCTCTCGCTACAAGTCTCGACTTCACCTTGGTGGGCCATCCAAATTCATCTGCCTTCCAATCGAATACCCACTTAGCGTTAATTGCGTTCTCCACTAGTTGCTACTTCGCCGGAGTAAAAGTCCCTGCTTCCAACAAGCCGTAAAACTCCCTTTGCATAGAGTCGCTCCAAAGGTGCCGGTGCTCCGACGCCATGGCCTCTTTGTAGCTCTTGGGGACACGAAGGTCGCTGGCCTGGCAGTGAGGAAGGTCAGGGCGTTGCTCCGGCGGGCGCTGGTCTCGCAGCGTGGCGTCGATGTCTTCCCGGTTGGCGAGGAGCGTGGCAAATGCGAGTGGAAAGCCCGCTCCTCCAGCCCCCGGGTCCACCGCTGCGAGTGCTCCCGCCTGTTCTCCGCCCCCCGCTCCCCCCGGCTCTCCGGCCTCCGCCCCCCCCAGCTCCCTGCGCTCCTCATCCACCGCGCTCCGAGCCTCCAGCATCGACACCAGAGTGTTCTTGTCTAGCATCGAGATGAGTCCTGTGCTGTGCCTCGTGCCCGATCTCGTTCGGCTTGGCAGCCGCGGGTCTATCATACCCTCGGCCTTTGTACCCGGGCGAAGCTGCCGCATGGCGTGAGCCGTAAGCGGGGGCATCGCGGGGTCCGGCGGCGGCGGCTGGTCTGGATCGAGGGTCGCCAACGGTGACGGCGAAGAGGCAGAAGACGGCTGGCCAGGGGCGGGGGTCGCCGACGGTGGCGGCGAAGTGGCAGAGGGCGGCTGTGAAGGCGTGGGAGCGGACGGCGGCGTGGTCGCTGGCGGCGGCGTTGCGGCAGGTGGCGTTGCGGCAGTCGAAGGCGTCGGTGCTGGGCCAAAGTTGATCGAGACGACCGGCGGCGTGAACGGGGGGGGTGTCGGTGCAGCGGTGATACCAGCGGAACCCCCCTCGCCGGCTGGCGCCGACGTCACCCACGACACGTTGTTGGTGTAGACGACGCGACCGGTGGACGCCTTGAGGACCTTGACGGTGCCGCTCGGGTGGTTGTCGCCGCCGTTCAGGTAGAAGCAGAGGGTGGCCTGGTCGTCGAGCTTGGTGCGGCGATCCTCGCGCATGAAGCCGGGCTGGAAGAACGGCAGCACGCGGAATGGCCCTTGCTCGCCGGTGAACATCTCGTGCGGCGAGCGCCGCCCGGGGTTGGCCTTGGTCGCCGACTGGTTAAGAGCGTCGGCGGCCCACTTCGCCGATTCCATCCAAAGACGGTCACCGCGCTCGTCGAGGCCGGGGATGGAGGCGAAGTCGACGTTGAACACACGGCCAGCGCTGCGGCGGGCGGCCATGCCGGCCTTCATAATCCGCCAGATGGCGCTCTCGACGACGCCGTTGTACTTCGGAGTGCCAGGCGGGGTGAACTCGACGCCGATGCCGTTGTCGTCGCAGAATTGCCGGAAGTCGCCACGGGTCCACTCGGTGCCGTTGTCGACGCGGAAACACTCGATGCGCCCGAGGTCGTACCGCCCCACGTCCGCCAGCAGCCTTTTCGTTGCCGCCAGCGCGTCGGACTTCCGCCGGAGACCGTAGACCTTGTTCCACCGCGAGGCGCTGTCGACGGCGACGAACAGGTAGAGGTTGCCGCCCAGGGAAGGCACCAGCGGTCCACACAAGTCCAGGTGAACACGCCCGAGTGGCTTGGACGCCCGCGCTCCCGGCCCCCGCGGCACCGACCCTCGCCTGCCCTTCGCCTTCATGCAGTCCGTGCACGGTTCCAGCTTGCCGGTGAGCACGATGCCTCTCTGCTGGGCGGTTTCTCTCAAAAGGGGCTCGCAAGCGTGGGCAAGGGAGCGGTGGAAGCGGTTGATGTCAACGGACTTTTCAGTCGAACCAAGAGCAAACGGGGACGCACCAGGGCCAAGCGCGGCCGCACCGAAGTCAAAATCAGCACCCCCATCAATGCTATCCAAAACAGCAGCTACATTCGCAGCATCAGTCTCAGGGATAAACGCGGGGAAAAACTCTTGATACGGGGTGTCATCATAGCCATCCATGAGCTGCTCGTCGGTGAGCACACTCGTGTCTCCAAGATCCATACCCGGAAAAGTACCCACACAAACAAACTCGGACGCCGAAGAAGGTACTACGCCGGCAGAGCCGGCGGGCGGGACGCTGTCACTCGCAGGTCCTACACTGGTGGGACCAGTGGGCGTGACGCTATCAGTCGAAGGTACTACGCTGGTGGGACCAGCGGGCGTGACGCTCTCACTCGAAGGTACTACGCTAGCAGAGCCAGCGGGAGGGAAACGCAACACGGACACCAATGATTCCGCGGAGCCCCCTTTTTGGGAAGGGGAACGCGTGGAGCCAACGGCGGGGGCGGAATCGGGGGCAGTCACGAATGCAGGCAAAGCAGAAGAGTCTACTATAGTTGCAGATGGGTCGTATGGTAAGCGCATGGCATATGCTGCAGACGCTTTTTCCTCCCTAGCAAATAGCAGTCCATTTTGGAGGGTTGCACCACGCTCGTCGTGCAGGATTTGTTGCTTTCGAGAAACTGCATGCGTTGAAAACAAATTGAAGCTCAGGTTCTCTACTACAGACACGTCAGTCAGCTTAACACACATCGTCGTTTTTTCACCGTTCTCATCCTCCTGAAAGAAACTAAGGTTGATGCTACCGATAGCTTGCACTTCTAGCAGTCGACCATCACCTACGACGACATACTTCCTATTTGCGGGGATCTCCTGCAGATCGTACATGTGTAGACTACTGTTGGTAAAACTGTTGCTTGCACCTGAATCAGCTACCCATCTCTCGCTACCAGGCGGCCCCTCACTAGATTCCACACTCAGCAAAGACGAAGCAGACGCAGCAGACTCAACTCCAATCGTCACTCCTATCCTACCAAAAAAATCTTCGGGGTGAGACTTGCCTAGGGGCACCGATTGTGCCGTGCAGAGGTGGAGGTAGCCCGAAGATGGAGGCGCGCCAGGAGAAGGGGCAGAGGACGAGGAGGAAGCGGTGCTGCTGCTGCCCGCGGGGGGGGGCTGACGTGGCTGCTCGGATGATGAATCTTGACCGGCGGGAGGGTAGTAGACGTAGTGGATCCCGCCGTCAGATGAACGGCTGTCTTCGTACCCGGAGGAGTAGCTGTAGCTGTCCCCGCCGCCGGCGTAGTGGGCGTACCCGGCGTCGTGGTAGCCGTCGTCGTAGGAGTAGCCTTCGTCGTAGTCGCCGTAATCTTCGTAGTAGCCACCATCATCGTGGGCGTAGTACACAACGTACGCCTGCTCTCTTCCGTGGCCAGAACGCGCGTGCCCCGGGCCTCTCCCTGCCCGATCTCTCTCGGCACGCCCGTCGCTGCTGTGGCGTCCCGCGGGCCCACGACCCCCCGGGGGACGCCCCAGACGACCACCAGGCCCACGTCCACGAAGAGGTCGCGGGGGGGGTGAGGCTTGGCTCCAGCCACCGCCACCATGACCGGTGTGGTGCTGCTGCTCTATCCTCACCCATCGCCCGCCACCGCGGCCGGGTCCCGGCGGCGGTCTACCCCCTCGCTGGCTACCGCCGCCACCGCGGCTGCCGCCGCCCGAGCGACGTTCCTCGGCGCCCTCTCTCGAACGCGCACGCCGCAGTTGCTGCTGGAGACGACACTGCTCGTTGGTGTGAAGCTCGGACTGGTGGTAGCGGCAAAATCCGCCGGGGTCGTCGTTGAACACGTCATTATTTTTCTTCTCTCCGTCACGATTTTGGCCGCCAGCTGCTGCCTGACCGCCGTCTTGACCCCAGGATGCCCCCCCACTGCCCCCGCCGCGTCGGCTCATGCCGGATGCGGCGAGAGCGAGCTCCACCTCGCGCCTCTCCCCCTTGCTCCTCTCGCGCTCCATCTCCACGTGGGCGTCCCTCACCACAGTCTCAAGGGTACGCAACGTCAGGACATCATGGGCAAGCAGTATTCCTTTTTGCACGGCATACAACGAAGAGGGAAGGCCACGAGCAATGTCTTTGTTGGCATCTGTTTCATCCTTAATCGTGCCTACAGATGCGAGACGCAGGCGAAGGGCCTCTGAGCGGGCAATGTAATCCTGTGGACTCTCGGACTCTTTCATCTCCAACTCCTTCCAGTCCTGCTCCAACCTCGACTTTTCTGACTGCTTTTTCTCCTGATAGAACTCGGTCACTATTTTCCAGCCCTTTTGGGGACTCTCACACGCCAGAATCAAGCTCTGAATCGGGGGATACATAACCTTGCTTATGAGGATATTCCACAGTTTGAAAGACTTGTCTACCACTTCATTTCCAAAAAGTCTCCGAAGGTCTCCTACATTCACACCCCTCTTCCCGACCTTGACCTCGACCTCCAGTTCCAACGCATCATGCACACCCTCCTCCTGAAAATATGAAATCATCTTACCACGAAAAATATCAAACATAATGTACAAGTCCTGCTCCTTCTTTACACTACCAAGCCAAGGTTCGATTTCTGAGCCTGGATTGACACGTAACGTGCCTGAGCGGGCAAAGCCCTGTTGTTGAGCGATGGCCTCAGCTGTCGCCTTGGCCGCTTGCGCCACGATGTGTGCGACGCTGCTGGGGTCGTTGAATGTGGCTGGTGTACCCTGGCTGGAGGGTGATGGTTGGTTGCCAGTAGGTGGGACTGGGTTGCCGGTTGGAGTGGCTGGGTTGCCGGCTGGTGGTTGGGCAATGGTGACTTCACCCTCGTTGATCCTGTTGGCTTCGAGTTCGGCTTGCACTCGTTGCTGGACGATCTCCTCCACTTTTTGTTGTAGCTCTTCCCCGCTGAGGGCGGAGAGGTCGATGTCCTCCATGGTGTTTGGTGTTGTGGGAGTCTACCGATTGCGCGTGACTGCACAACCCCCGGATGGCTACGCCCGCGCGCAGATACCGTGATATCGCACTAGTGTGAAAGGTAAACTACGCGGGGTGCAGCAAGCACGTTCTGGACGTTACTTGGGGCACTGGGTAGTCGGCCGTGTTAGGCCGAGAGAGAGAGATTGAGAGAGAGTTGGAGAGAGAGTGGGAGAAGGAAACTTGATTGGAGAGAGACGGTGGTGGTGGTGGAGAGAGAGAGGAAGAAGTGAGCGCAGCACGCACGCAAGCTTCATCGCACCAACCACGCCAAAAGGGTCCCCGTGACCGCACCGATGGTACCCTGCAACACACGAAATTCCCAACACGTATCCCCCTGGGATCCTCACGACCAGATACTGCTGCGAGTATATCTAACACACTTGGCCGCCCTTGCGGGAAATATACGATTCCACGAGGTGCATAGGAAAAACACCAAAACGACAACCAACCTACATCACGGATCCCCGTGGCGTACGCCTTGTACATCGCCGTCACGTGGGGGATAATGTCCATGGACTCGTCCTGGCCAGTGATCGCGCGGTTGCTCCCGAAAGTCAGCAGGTCCTTAAGCTCCTCCCGAATGGTAGAGACGACCTTCCGGAACTTCTCCCACAACTCGTTGTCGTTGGAGAAGACCTTCGGCATGTCACGGAGAGCCTGCGCGAGCTCCTTCGTGCGCCTCTTCGACTGGGCGAGGAACTTCGGGATGAACTGGGGGGGGGGGGTTGAGAAAGGGAGGGCGAGGGGCGCATGGAAGGCAATGTTCAGAGTTGTCAGTTCCAGGCTTGAAGAGTACAAAAGAGCATCAGACGCGTGTGTGGGTGTTGAAGATGGGGAATAGGCGAGGATAGCTTTTGGCGCAAGAAGGCCTCACACCTCGGGAGGCTACCGTACCCCCAAGTCGCCACGTTACGATTGCAACACTACGTGCAAGGTGGATTTTCCAAAGAGTGTCCCAAGTATCGGGGGGTGGTGGGCAAGTGGGTCTCGTCCTTTCACGGGGGGGCGCCAATAAAAAATGGTTTCCCTTGGACGTTAGTCAGGACGAAATGAAACACTGGGCACATGACAAAATCTCCAACTTGTGGTGATGGGAACTTTTCTCGGCGGTTTTGCGTACACGAGCGAAGCAGCTTGAGAACTTACGGAAGGAAACGAAACAAACATGAATACACGAGAGGGATGGAGCCTCGCCCCACCGGGACCTCACTCCGCCTAGAACGTTCGCTCTCTCCTTATTAGCCAAACTACGAAAATCTCGAATGTGTCTCGCTTCGGCCTGTCAGGTGCTCCTATTTGGGTAGGGCGCGGGTTGGTATTCTATTTTGGGGTGACTACGGTGTGCACCGTAGGAGGAAAGGCGAAGCAACAATATGCTGGAATGAATTCCTGTGAAGGCTTGTTCCTTGATGACCCCGGCTGATACGTGAAACGTCAGCACCGAGAGATTTAAAGACTGCACCAGAATTATATGAGACGAACACAAACAAACGGTTGGTTCCACGAAACCCATTTCCTTCGTCGATTGTCGGGAAACGATCGAAATTGCGCGAAATACTTACCTTCTGTTTTCGGCTCTGGGAGGTCGGCTGGATACTGAGCATATATTTTCTTCGTGTTAACCTACACTGAATTTTTAACGCTTTCGCCACTGGCCCTAAGCACAAAAAACATCTGCATCGGACTAGACGGTCGCCCCGATGGTCCAGTGGTATCTTCGTAAACCGCTAGTCGCAAACGCAGTGAGTTCGAATTCCCGTGGCGTGAAAATATCACAAAATTTCGAAATATAGCTGAAAAAGCTACTTCGACGGTAGCACCGTCGACGAGGGAAAGGATGGCTGGACCCTTCTCGCGACAACAAATATAACTCAGCACGCACCGCAGGAGGAAGGTGGCGCACGAAAATATATAAAAACAAGAAACAAACCCTGGTGTCTACCTGTGGCCCTGCATGGTTGTAGTTGTACGAAAACACACACTGAAAAGTGGGGGGACTGTCGCCATAATGTAAAGGACGAAAACAACAAACATTGGAATGCATTTCTCAATGCATCCCGTGAAGTTCTCTGCTGGGTCAACGACAGTAATATCGTGGACATGCCCTCCCACATGTGGTGTGTTGAAAAAAATCTACTTCATAGCTTCAGAGGATGATGCCTTTGACAACTTGCTGGGGATATTGCGGCAATTTTTTTAATCTACCTCCATTTCTATTCTGGAATACAGCAAGTTGCTGTTTCGGAAATATATCAGCTATTTTTGCAGTGTACGTGCAAGACTTGATACCAATGCACGTGCAACACTTGGTACCATGTGGTGTTGGGGGTTGTGAGTGTCAAGTGATATATTAGAAAAGGTTGGTTTCATAGTCTAAGGGAAAGAAGGGCAGAGCAATGTGAATCTGAATGTGTTTGATTGGGCATCGTCCATAAATTTCTTTGTGGTGTAGTCTACTGCTGCTGTAGTGGGGACGACTACACGACTACCCAAGAGGTCAAATCAAGCGGACGAACCTCCCTGTTTCTTGCGGACCAGGTACGTCGGGTGTGTTGATCCATTTTGTTGAGACCACCTCGCATGTCGTAGCCATGTCGTTGAGCATCATTTGTGAAGGAGTACAGCAGTATTCATGAATAGATTGTATAATATTTGTTCAGTTTTAGGGACACCATACGCACATGAGCATGCGTGCAAAGGTACACACCCGTCCATTGAGAACTCTAAAAATGTGCTCAAAATGTCGCAAAATCCAATTTTGGTATGTATCCACACCCTACGAGAAAATCAAAGACACCTACCTGCTGAACTCTCTCTGCCTGGATTTCGACGATGCGCCCGACCAGCGTGTCGAAGCCCCAGTACTCCTTCTCGATGCCGGCCATCTCCGAATTGGTTTGGAAGAATTGCCTCTCCCTTGCCCGCACTTCCTCAGCGGGCGTGTCTTCCTCCACCTCAATGGGCGTGCGGTTGACAATTGACAATGGCGATGAAACCAAGGCTTAGCTGCACGTGGCCGGGCCCCATCCGGAGCTTGGCTTTGATCCCGCACCCGGCTTTGATGTTGTCGGTCTTGGTGACAACACCGAGGGTGCGCCGGCCGTCAGGGTCATACTTCTTGGCGAGGGCGATCGCCTCGGCGTTGGCGAAGTCGTCCATCGCCGGGATCACCACCAGGATCACCATGTTGTCGTTCTCGATGAACTTCTTCACGAGATTGACGGTCTCGGTGTGGATGTCCTGCGTGCCGTCGGGGGAATTGTGAGTGATGTCCGGCAGGTCGATCAGCGTCAGGGTCGGGCCTGAGGGCCGAATGATCTTGAGGTAGATCGGTTTGGCGCTCACGGCGGTGCCGTCGCCAGCGAGCTCGTTCGTGAGCCTCTCGATATCGGTTGAGATTTCATCGATGCCGATGATCTTGCCTTTGGAAAGATCGGCTTGGCCGCCGATAACAGCGTGGGGCTCTGCCCCCGGAACAGCCACCAGGCTGAGCACCAGCGGCACCCTAGTTGTGATGTTTTGCCCACGAGGCAACTTCATGCCCCCGAGGGCTTCGAGCACGGACGACTTGCCGGCACTCTGAGCCCCGGCCACCACGACCCCCGGAATCTTGACCTCTTCGTTGTTCTGCAAGAGCGCTCGCAGCTGCTCGAGTGCCCCGAGCTCCCCACTGAGACGGTTCTCAATCTCATTGTCGATAGCGCCTGATGATGACATGAAGCTCGGTGTATGTAGAGATGGACTGCGTTGCGGACAGAATCGTCGACGTAGCTTGGAGGAAAGTCTGTGTATCCCGAGGTGCATGCTGTGGTGCTTGTGGGTCTCGTTGAACGGTGAGACGAAAGGTTGGAACCTGTGAACCGGCCATGTTGATCGGATAATTGGTGTATCATCTGGTGACTCTATCTGGCTCTATTTTTGTTCGCATTGATGTTGCCGTTGCCCAACGTCTCTAATGCGCAGGCTTCTCGAAAGTCATGGCGTGCCGTAGTTCAGTCTTAGCGAGGGCTGTAAGGGAATAGATACTGCACCATCCGGTGTACGTAGTGACAATGACCTGGGCAAAAATCACAAGCTCCACACGCCGAGGACAATCGATTCAGGCATGCACTCACGGGATCATGATGACAGAGATTGCGTGCACGTGAGCACAACAAAAAAAACACCAATATCCACAAAAAGGGTCTGCAGCTTTCTCCTTTGGGGTTAGCCCAAACCCTCGCACTGGCATGAATCATTGCGTATAGGCTTTCTTCTTGTTCAAGTCCTTTCCAACTCAAGGGCGGACACAGCTGCGGACGCACTCGGCGTGTCACGACTGACGGATATGTGTCACGACTGACGGGTATGGCACAAGAAGAACAGAGAAAAACACAGGGAGGCGTTTCGTTGTCAATCCCTGCTAGAAATAGACAACCATTGCTGGGGTATATATTGTAGATGGTATATATTGTAGATGCTGCAGTTTTCCAATCGGCGAAGCGCCCAGCGTTGGGTCAGCTCGACGTCGGCAGCGAGCACGAGTTCCTCGACCTACCGGAATCCCCCCCTCAACTCAGTAGGAGAGGTAGCAAAAGGAATCGAGATTGCCATGGCAACCGAAGAGGACCCCACAGCCTTGGGTGGTTTGGAGACGAGACTCTTCCAACTGGTGTCGAAGAATGCGACCTCAGCGCAGTGGGCGGAATGGCTTCGAGCCCCCCTGGAGCACGCAGTTGCCGAGGGCGACAAGGACCTTGCGTTGGCCCTGCTGAAGGCCGGGGCGAACGGACGCGCAGGCTGGAAGGGTTGTGACGACCGCACTCTTCTCCAGGCGGCTGCCAAGGGAGGAGAGGAGGAGGTGGTACATGTTGCTCGACATTGAAGGCATGGAGGAATTGGACGCAGCCTCTGGCAAGGGCAGGACTGCACTCCACCTTGCAGCCGCTGGTGGGCACACCGATGCGGCGCTTGTGCTGATGCTCGCAGGTGCCAAAGTTCATTTAGTCGATGGCAAGGGGTCAATTGCCCTGCACTACGCCATCTGAGCGGGCTCCCACACAATCTTATATATGGATTCACCTTTATAAAAGGGCAGGTTTGTTTAAGGCGTAGACAAAGGCGTAGACAAAACAAACCGAGGTTTATTGAAACAACTCGAATTGCCATACTGTTTATATTGGGGTACCCGGAACGCATTGCGTACTGCGGGGCCCCCTCGGTCGAGAGGAGGAGTCGCATGTGTTACCATTCTGTTCAAGCCTTGTGTCCACAGAGTCTTAGCGTGCCAGAGAGAGAGTATCGCAGAGACAACTAGCGAGGTGGTCACAGAGAAGGCTTCTAGTGGTGTGTCAGCCTCTGGAGCTGACAGGAAGTGGAGTCTTTTCTTGCCTCCTCTTCCAGTTGGGAAATCGGGCTACCCGAGCTACAGCAGTCGTAACTGAGAACTCGGGGTCCCGAGATGTGACGAGAGCGGAGAGGAGAGCAAGGACGCCAGGCGCCGGCAGGCGTGGCATCTAGGGCGCAACACTGAGCGGTACGTGTGGTGATGTGATGACAATGTGGGATGATGTGGGAAGAGAGCAAAACCCACAATGTGTTTTGGTATGTCAAAAAGGAGAGACACAACCCCAACGGAGTGTTCTGCACGTTTGCAAGGGGAGAGAGATCCCGCTGCTGCTGGGTTGATCCGCTGCTGCTGGGTTGATTCGGTGGCGTACTCAGTCACCCATGTCGCACATGATTCAATGACTAAACACATCAACCGGGTTAGGTGGCCGAGGTTGGTGGGCCTGCTTCGACAGCGCTGGCTGTCACGGCTGTTGCCACCGTGTACGAAGAGTACGCAGTCATGTGGATGACATTCATACACTCGCAAATACAGCAGTTGTTCCGCATCGATGCGGGAGAGAAAATTAACTGTGGGTTCTGTGGCGTTACGTTCACCATGTTGAACGTGGTTTCAATACCGGCTCCGCATCTAACGAGTGTGTGGTGGCCACAGCCAAGCAAGACAATACCCACAAACTATTATTGTTTGGTGTCGATACGCGATGGAAGTACATATACGAATGCTGGATCACATGGTGCGCTGTAGACGAGTGTATCATATGGACTAATCTGGCTTCAGATATGCGTTGCAGTCGTTTTGAATAACATAGGGTCCTGTACACGAGTGTGTAGCACATAAGCTGGATTCAGATTTACGCTGCAGTCGATTAAAGCCAGAGATTGTGCAATTGCCAGCGAAGTATGTGGACACTACTTACAAAGTTACAATAAATTGTTGGAGACTTGCCGTGAGAATCGAGGCCCGATTCGACGGAATCCGTTGAAGTCCTCCCAGAGTACATACAATTGTACTGAGAAAGTTGCTGGACAGCACCAAGCATACCTTGACGCCAGCACGTTGTTGATTTAATAGCGATCAGTCGATCGTGGTATGATCATGAGTATGCATACAACAAGTATTAAATGCCGGAACCACACACATCAATAGTGTGTGGCGGCCGTGGTGGTGGGCTTGTTTTCGCAACAGCGCTACTCACCAGGGTTGTTGCCTGTGTGGCGATTCACGCATGAATACATACATAGAGTATGAATGCCGGAACCACACACATCAATAGTGTGTGGCGGCCGTGGTTGGTGGGCTTGTTTTCGCAACAGCGCTACTTACCAGGGTTGTTGCCTGTGTGGCGATTCACGCATGAATACATACATAGAGTATGAATGCCGGAACCACACACATCAATAGTGTGTGGCGGCCGTGGTTGGTGGGCTTGTTTTTCGCAACAGCGCTACTTACCAGGGTTGTTGCCTATGGGCGATTCACGCATGAATACAGAAAGTGTAAATGCCGGAACCACACACATAAATAGTGTGTGGCGGCCGTCGTTGGTGGGCGTGTTTTCGCGACAGCGCTACTTACCAGGGTTGTTGCTTGTGGGCGATTCACGCATGAATACAGAAAGTGTAAATGCCGGAACCACACACATAAGTAGTGTGTGGCGGCCATGGTGGTGGGCTTGTTTCGCGACAGCGCTACTCACCAGGTTTGTTGCCTGTGTGGCGATTCACGCATCAATACAGGGAATATGAATGCCGGAACCACGCACATAAATAGTGTGTGGCGGCCGTGGTTGGTGGGCTTGTTTTTCCCAACAGCGCTACTTACCAGGGTTGTTGCCTATGGGCGATTCACGCATGAATAGAGAAAAGTGTAAATGCCGGAACCACACACATAAATAGTGTGTGGCGGCCGTGGTTGGTGGGCGTGTTTTCGCGACAGCGCTACTTACCAGGGTTGTTGCTTGTGGGCGATTCACGCATGAATACAGAAAGTGTAAATGCCGGAACCACACACATAAGTAGTGTGTGGCGGCCATGGTGGTGGGCTTGTTTCGCGACAGCGCTACTTACCAGGTTTGTTGCCTGTGTGGCGATTCACGCATCAATACAGGGAATATGAATGCCGGAACCACGCACATAAATAGTGTGTGGCGGCCGTGGTTGGTGGGCTTGTTTTTCGCAACAGCGCTACTTACCAGGGTTGTTGCCTGTGGGCGATTCACGCATGAATAGAGAAAAGTGTAAATGCCGGAACCACACACATCAATAGTGTGTGGCGGCCGTGGTTGGTGGGCTTGTTTGTCAACAGCGCTACTTACCAGGGTTGTTGCCTGTGTGGCGATTCACGCATGAATACAGAGTATGAATGCCGGAACCACAAACATCAATACTTTGTGGCGGCCGTGGTTGGTGGGCTTGTTTTCGCGACAGCGCTACTTACCAGGGTTGTTGCCTGTGGGCGATTCACGCATGAAATCAGAGAGTACGAATGCCGGAACCACGCACATCAATAGTGTGTGGCGGCCGTGGTTGGTGGGCTTGTTTTCGCAACAGCGCTACTTACCAGGGTTGTTGCCTGTGTGGCGATTCACGCATGAAATCAGAGAGTATGCATGCCGGAACCACACACATAAATAGTGTGTGGCGGCCAGATATGACACACCAGAGGTTATCGACACACTTGCTGAGGTCGGGGCCGATATCGAAGGGCAAAGCTTGGTTGTGATCTAATGTTCTGGACAGCAGCACCGGTTCAAGGATTAACGCCGCTTCACGTCGCCGCCTACATTGACGACACCTGCCCCAATATGCTCGCACTTCTACAGAAGGGAGCCAACGCTAACGCACGAGACGACGACGGGCGTGGGTCCCTTCTCCTGGTGTGCAATACCAAGGCGAGCTCGGTAGCTATGGCCGACCTTCTTCTGAGATGGGGCGCGGACGAGACGGCTGCCGACAACGATGGCAACACCGCTGCAGACCTCGTGAAAAGCGGTGCCGAGCCCAATAAGGGGCTGCAACGGCTATTGGCGAACGTTCCGGCAGACAGGGCCTGGCGTCGGAGGAGTATGGTGGTTATGTTGTGTGCCCAGAGTGGAGACGCGGCAATCGTGACCCTCTACTGATTCTGTCCTGCCCCGACTGGTCGGGCTGGAGGAAGAAACACTATTTCAAGCGATCGTGCGGCTTTTGTAACAAGACGCGAGAAAAGGTGGGGCCAATTACACTGTGGCGTATCGGTAACAGCCCGATCGAGTGCTTGTATATTTCCTAGGCTCGCAGAAGTTCCGTTCAGCCGTTCTTGTTCTGTTTGCTGGGCTAGCAGCCTCTTGGCGTGCAAAATTTCGGTCCGGTGAACAATGTCATGTCGTGCCCGACACCAACATTCGGTTGGTGAATCTCCTGTATATAGCTCTATTTTGTTTTTGTGTAGCACTCGTCGAAGCTTTTCTTCCCTTTTCTCGTCCCATTTTCCTGCTTCAGGAAGCTCTGACGTGCCCACTATGTTTGAGCAACAGACAATCGTTGAGCTCTTCAATGGCACCACAGCTGTTTTTCCGAGACTGCAGAGTGGGCCATGTATATGTACAGAGCGGCGGGGACGTATTGCCTGGGGCGCTATGCATGTTGTTGTGCAAACGGAAATGTTTAGGGATCGCCCTCGCGTTCATAGCCAATGTTCAATAGCTGCGCATGGATTGTATCCGGTGTCACATAAGCGGGGGAACTGTACCGTCGTATTGTGTCATGGGGGGGGAAATGAACGTGAAGCTGAACGCCACGATCCTCGTCGCAGTAAAAGCGGAGTGTAGCAGACGTTCGGGTTTGGCGGTTCGTGTTGCTAACTTTTTTTGCCTTTTACAAGCAGAAAATGAGGAAAAAATCGGCAATTCTTGTTTGTTTGCGTTTTAGCGTTTTCTGCGGATTCGGAGGTAAGTTCAGGGTTATTTGTTTTCTCGTTGTTAGGATTCGAGCGTTATTTCTTGTAATATTCGCTGTAGGACGGATTGAACTTCGTTGTATGAGAAGTGTTGCGGTAGAGGGTTAGGCCAATCGATATGCATTTTGTGCGCTGTTTCTTGCGGTGAAGATGTGCTGATGGAGGATCGGAGATTATTTGTGGGAGGTTTTGTAGCGAGGGGCTGTCAAGAAGATATGTTTGGGGAGATGTTGCAGCAGGGGAGCTATTAAGGAGTCCCATTTTCTCGATGTTGGAGAAACGGCTTAATCGGTCAAAGTTTCCTCTGCCCTGTTTAAGCGCTGGGTGTTTTTACCTTGTGTCTGTTTCGCAGTAACCTGATATTGTTGTAAAGCAGATAAAGACTTTGGAGGAAGGGTAGGGCATAGTTTGGTAAGACATGGTTGAGGCCTACGTGCTTCCCCAGCTCATTTGAAATAGTTCAATGAGATGACTCATGGTTTTGTGTGAGGACCTGGGAAGTACTAGTTTACGGGTTTTCCCGGAGTTATCCGCCCCGAGTCTTTGTGATGTGACTACGATGTAATGTTGATCTTTGCTGAGTACTTTTCCGAGCATAGTGCTTTATTTCTGGCTGCTTGAGAATTTGCTGTTGCGACCTCATCTCGAGAGGGGTGATTGTTAGGGCTCTAGTTAATTTCCATGGTGGTTAAAGGAGGAAAAGTTGTGTGAAATTTGAATATTCCATAGGTCCGGAGGTGATATGATTAACCTGTGGGTATGAAAGATGGGTGGGTTCGGGTTTCTTGGTGATTTACCGGGCGATATGTACGCAGGGTGCGTAGATCGTATCTCGTACCGAGCAGGCGGGCAGTTTGTGTGAATTCGCTAGAGTGCGGATCTCCGAGATCTCCGGGGGTTGCGGTGTATGTGTGTGATGGACTTGACACGCGAGTCTCCTCTTGGTCTCGCCCCTGCCTCTCACTCTTTTTTATTGTTCAAGAAACTTGAGTCACTCCTTTGTGCAGAAACGCTCTCGACAACAGCCCGCAACGCAGAACACGCGCCGACACCGTCGTTGCCTGAACTACCGTTTTGTGTACCCTCTTGTCTGTCTGCCTGAGCCTGCCTATGTTGGCCTCAAGCCATAGCGACATTACACAATTTTCTTCCGTGAGTTACTGTACTTCTGCGGCAACAGTGAGGAAGTTTTCAGGCCGCCTTCGAACCACACGAGTCCCCGAGCGCTCTGTGCATTTTTTTGTTTTTCTTTCTCGGCTTCCGTTGAGGCATGAGCGCATGAGATCTTCGAGAATGGCCCACGGGAAATTGACTCCCAGTATTTAGGTTTCGGTTCATGGAGTGGTTTGCTCTAATTGAAGACGTACGTATGTGATATTCTCAAAAACGCAATACTCTCGATCTGACCAATGACACACATCGACGAATACATAGAAGTTCAAGCGTCCAGAATGCGGGTGCCTCGACATGTGTCTCGAATTTCTTGGTCGATAATTTCGACAAAAAACGGGGCATCATGCCAATGCACGCGGCTTCTATTGGCGTACTCACTCCACGGAGTGTTGTGACACCAGATATGTTGAAAGCCATCACGGACGGGCGCAGCTGTTCTCGAACATGTCGACCGAAGATTTGAACAATCGTAGTGTTGCAGGTCCTGGTCGTGTGTGGGGATCGTGGGTGATCGTTTCGACGGACACTCACACCACTACGCAGGAGATTCGTATCAGTCGGTTGGCTTCCAACGCCTGCAATCAATACCGGACGCCGTAGCCAGATTGGTGAAGCGCCGAATACTCGGGAATTTGCGCGCCTCGTCATGGACCAATTACGGCCTTTGACCTTGTGAGGGACTCAAGTGTTTCCGGCGTGTCGTTAATTCCCAGAATCCCAGCCCAGTGATTTATGTCAATAATCCATGATCCGTGTACATGACAACACGCCCATTTTGGCGGGAGAGCGTGCTGCCTTCGGGTTATAAGGTGTGCGACGTGTGCCGAAGCAGAGAAGGGTCAATCCCTTGCACAGGCACGGAAGTGCATGGGGAGAAAATCACGACCCCCCCCATGGTCGATGGGAGGTACAGGCACACTCCGTACGAACATTTGACAGCGACCTGAATTGGTTGTTCCCCCAACTTGTCGGCTATGTCAATCCTCTTTGTGTTTTGAGCATTCTGTCAAGCCGGCGGGGACGCACCATCAACCTTTTGTGTTAGATCACGCTGTCTTGTCCGCCGGTGTCGACAGTTTCACCCCTGCATTGCGGCGTTCCCAGTATGCATATAGGTGATGTACATGATGACACTCCGTCCGTCTAAGTGTGTGCGTGTAGAGAGGGGGCACTTGTTCCCTCGGAAACCCTCGACCCCTCCACATGAATGCCGCCGTTGGGGCTAGCGTTCTACACAGAGGAACGGAGGTGGTCATGGCATGTACGAGCCTCTGCGTCGAGGAATACTCCGCCTACATAGATGAACCACGACAAATAACGAAAAAATACAGCCCCACCTGGCAACGAGTCAACAAGGAGCAAATACCAGCATGCACAGCAGTGACACTCGATGTATCAGCGGTTATTGTGTCCATAACCCCCCGCGATGTGACAGCAACAGCCAGTCAACAACTGCGGATACCAAATGCACGGCAGTGACGCCCAATGTGATGGCATTTCTTTTTTATCATTTTCCCGAAGCAAGGTATTTCAAGTGCCACGCGCCTCCACATGGAGGAAGACTCGACGAAGACGAATCACCAGGGGGGCAGAAATGATCGCAGGCTCCACGCACTCCCTCGTGGTCGTCAACCGTGCCGACACCTCCTCTCGTGAAGATCGTGAGCGAGCCCAACATGAGGTCCGGAATCGAGGCCGCCGATTATGGGCGAGAGCTTCAGAAGGCGAGCCCTACCTAGGTTTGTAATGTCGTAGCTTGATGCGGGAAACGCTGGGGGTGTTTCGTAGCCGCCAACTTTGACTTTGTGTGCATGGAATGTTGGCGTTGGAACGCACACGTTGATGTGATTGATGTCCGTCTCGCACTCGGCTGTGGAAATGCTTCCAACCAATCTATTAGGCCGTATCAGGGAAGCCTCAACCCTCGGAATTCGCCCTACCGTATCACAGTGTTTGACCTCCAACAAAACAAGAGAACATGTTTGAGTCCCCCCCTCTCGCCCACATCACGGCGAAGGTGCAGGCGCCTCAACGTCCGCTGATATCACTGCCGATGTCTCCACATTTCCTTCTGACCTAGTGCTCGGTTGCTCATAAAAATCCCGTCTTGGACTCTTGCCCTCCGCCAGGTGCTGCGGTATCTGGGCGTGCCGGACGGAAACAGGGCGGAGGGGTTCATTCGCCTCAACGAGAATGTCAACCTCAGGCCCAAGGGCGAAACATGCCTCAGTACCATGTATCTTGCTGCCGTAATGCACACGCAGAGAATGCACGCACGTCTTGTTGCAGGATTGCGTGAGGTCATTCGTCCGACGGCCCCAGCGAGAAAGTTGCTGTTGGAAGCGGTCACCGTAGTAGCTCTTCAAGAAATGGAACTCCCTCTATCGTCAAGAGGGGGGGACGGGAGCGGTGGGCGGGCGGTGACTTTCGAAGGTGAAACTGACACGCCGAAGCTGCAGCGGTTGTTAACACCCTCCGGTTCTTGTGAGGAGATCGCGCTTTCAGGTAGCTCAAGCCGACGCTGCAGACGGGGCGCAGCGGAAGCAGGAAGGCTTCTCCATTACAGCGAAATTATCTGTTGTTATCTTTAGCTAGCTTGCCAGCGGTACTACTGCTGCATCAAGTACGAGTGTTGAAGACGTTTTTCGCGCTTGTGAGCCACCACATGTTCGCTGTTGTGCAGGTGGAGATCAAGAACCTCCACTCCTTCCGAGCGGTGCAAGAGTTGGTGGACTGTGAGATCATGAGGTAGTCCAGGTACCCACTTTATGAATGTTTTGGCTTCGCACAAAAGGTTTCGACGATTCTTCTACTCTCGAGCACTCCGGAAAAGACGTGCCGGCATATTCCCGCTCTCGCCTCAACATTAGTTTCTCGCTGTTTACTGTTTTCTTGAACAAGCTGAGCGTTTGGGCGAGGGTCCTGCCCGACTCCAGATAACTCCGTGCGGACCAGCCAGCCTCACACATTCTCGAGTGGAAGCTGCTCTCCTGTGCACTAGCTGTTCGATTTCCGGAGAGTTCAGCGTAGGTCTGACAAGCTTGAGACAACAGATCTTAGTTCCTCCGTACCATGGTGTAAAACGACTGCAGGTAGCAGTCGTAGAGATGTAAATACCCAGGTTGATTTTCTAACTTTGATACTCCACCTTTTGTGTGTTTCCTTCGGTACTGGCTTTCTTTGCCACAGGTGTTACGAGACAAATGAGGTCATCCGGCAGGAGACGATATTGTCGGTCGAGAAGAAGAGAGCGGCCCAGATCATGCGCATCAAGGCGGGTAAGATAGCCTGACATTCGCACCAGCAAGCATCATCGACAAGGTGCTCGCTTTCGGCCGAGGGTATCACCCGCGCCCAAAAGCTATTCGCATGTCTTCAGTGTTCCGCAAGCACCATCGACCACCCTGTGTCATACAAAACAAACCAACAAGACGCGTAAGTTTCTCGGTTGAAGGCAGTAGGCCAGTCTTGTCTTGGCCTTCTTATTCGTGCTAGTGCCGCTCCGCACAAGTGCGGTCTCGAAAACTGTCACCAATGCCGTCTCGAGGGTTGTTTTGATTCGATGCCCCCGAAAAGCTGAGCCGTTGCCTGTTTTCTTTTGCGTACATGATTGAACGACTCCAAGAGCTGTGGAACAATGACAGCAACCGCTCACGAACGTTGACGCTCTACAGTAGAGACATGAATACCGGCATCCTGTTCTTCGGCCAGATCCATCCCTCCACCCGGTACGCACCCTCCCGTCCACACGGACTCTACGCCCTGTCGTGCGGGTCAACTTGTGATCCTCCAGGCGAAACGGGCTACCGCTACTTCCCCGAGCCAGACATCCCACCGCTCGCGCTGCCGGCGGAGTTACTACAGAAATGGCGTTCCGAGCTCTGCGAGTCGCCCGGTACGTCCCTTTCCTCCCCGCACACAAGCGCAGCAGCGGGCGTTGTGCGGACACCTTGATGGCGAAATGGGGCCGAATAGTCGTTGTCCAGGGTAGAGGTGTAAGCCGGGCTGTACGGTGGTTCAAGCGTCTTGCCTGTGTGAACTCGAATCTTCAACACTGTACCTCCTTCTCCGCCCTCCTCTCACGCCTTCATATGTACTGCACACCGGGTAGTAGGGAGGCAACTAGCTCTGGCTGGCACAAGTGTATCCATGCCGGAACAAGCGGATGGCAGTTTTTTTTGTTTGCACGGAGTGTGGCAAACATGACGAAGGGGTCCATAATGTTAATGTTGGGAGGTTTCTTCAAGACCTCGAGGGTATCAAGGCCGGTTCGAGCAAACAACGGAAGAGGTGAGCCGCCCATGCACCCAACACATCACGCTCCACTCCCTGTTCGCTAATACACCCATTCTCGTCATGTCCGATATTCGGGTACTGGGGCGGGGGGGAAGCGGGTTCTCTCACTGCTTCTCGACAGTCGGAAAGAGGGAGAGGTACCAGTCGGAGCTCGGGCTGTCGGAAGAGGACGCTGCCGCTCTGTCGGACGAGCGGTCCGTGGCGTTCTACTTCGAGGAGGCGGTAGGGGCGGGGTCGGACCCCGGGGAGTTTTGCAAGTGGCTCATCGGGGACATCACCGGTTCCCTCAACAGGTGGAGAAATGTTTCCTCCGTATGTCGCAGGATGGGTGCAGCTGTTCCGGTGTTTCGCAAAAGTGCAGGTGAACGCACCAGGTAGCTTTTATGATCGCATTGCCCCACATCCAAGAGGGTGTTGTCGAAACCGGACCGACAAGTGGAAGGAAATCTAGCTCTCCACGAGACCGTTCTAAAAGCACCTTTTCGGTAGTTGGCTCGAGTTGTGTCGGGCTTGTCTGTGCAATGTTCGATTTGTAGGCCTTGTTTGAGGGGCATATTCAGGCTTCTAGCCGATATTCGCTAACGTTTGGGGGGTTATCATGTCACCAATCGCCCCCCCTCCGCGCGCGCTCCCTCACGGCCATCTCCATGGCGTACAATGACTTGGGTCTCTCTGACAAAGGTTTTTCGCTACTACGTACGTTTTGTCCCTCTTCACTTTCTTGTGCCACATGCATGCGATGTCAACTCAAGATCTACCCTGATTCACACACCTTCACGGGCTCGCCCTTTGATGCTGACCCTTGCGTCGTGTTGTGTGGGTTTTGTCTTCCCGTACCTCAGCAAGCGCATGTACTGCAAGAGGTCTCCGAGAGTGTCCTCCAGTAGAGACGCTGCCCGCTTGGCGGTGACCCCTACTCGCTTCTGTTCCTCGGTGGTAAGCGTGAGGTACGCGTCCACCGCCGGGGAGGGGGAATGGGTTGCCCAACCCCGACGTGGGGTTCCAGTCGTCCCCTCTGCCCAGCAGCTCCTTCTACGCTGTTTTCAACTTAGAAAAAAACATCTTGCGGAGCGACTCGGCAGCGTATCGCGACTTCGTGCACTAGCTTCGTCCCCTTCCCCTTGCGAATCTAGAAACTAGTCGACCACATCTAGTGCAAGCGCTCGCCCATCCCCCGGTGTCCGTCCGAATACGAAAGTAGAAACAGGTCGAAGGATACCGGCTACTCTCTGCTTGCGGATTTCGCCGGCGCGTCCGCGCATGGTGGCCTCCACGTGCGATCGGCGCGCTCGTAGCTTAGTCCGGTCGATAACGACGGATATCCCCGGCTGGAGGCTTGGGGAGGGCGCGGTACAGGGCGGTCGAGCCCTACACTCCCTACAAAAGTTGAATTGGGCAACATTCTCCTGGTTGCAGTTAAAGCACCGTGGGAATAGAACCTGGGCTCGGACGAAGGCGGCCCCATCAGCGTATCCATTCTCGGCATTAGATGGGGTGGAGTCCAGCAGGGAGATAAATTCCCCGTCGCTTCGCGCTTTGGCGGCCTCCGTGCTTCCCGCCGCGCGCGTTCCGCTCGCGCACGCACTACTAGCCCCCGATCCACCCGTAAGGTCCACCGGCCGCGGGCTCGCCCGCTGCGAACGCGCTGGCGCTGCTTGCTATGGGAGCCCAGCTCCTGCTCCCGCTACCGCTGGGGGGTCCACCTAGACCTCCTGAGTTCCGTGCAGGAGGACGTAGTTTCCCGACTCCAGAACAATGCCGTGGTGGTGGATGAGGCCCACCGTGTTCGCGACCACCACCTTTATGGCCGCCTTCCTTCGGAACACCGGCGATCCTACATTCGTGACTGTTTCACTTTTTCCGCTTCGCGGAGTACCTCCATAAACTTATTTGCGCCGGGCGCGGGGGGCAGCGACGTCACTATGGGTCTCGCCTGGAGGACGGCGAAGGAGCGGTCCCCCACGTCCGTTGTTTGGCCATCCAGCCAGATGATCCTTTCTTTTTTTACGTCTAGTGAGGTTGCTGCCCCCAGGTTCCCCGCCGCGCTATCGCACGGCAGGGCCGTCCGCGGCGTGCAGGCGGTCACAACGCGCGCCGACGCACGGAAGGGCAGGCGCTGACCCGACGCCCCGGCGCCGGGCGCCGTCGCCGACGGCGCTGGTTCTGTGGCTGGCACGGGCGCTGCGCCTGGTGCAGGAGCTGGGGCTGGCGCGGGCAATGGTGCAGGGGGTGACGGTTTCATCCTCGTACTCGGCGTCTCTCGATTTGTTTCTTTCCCGGTTTCGTCTCCTGTCCAAAGGTAGCGAGAAAACCATGACATGGCTGTATGCAAATATCAACATGCTGTCAGGGCCGACGCCTACCTCCATTATTCGTGCCGAATTTGGAACCGTCTGTTGCCCAATTAGACTCATCGAATTCTTGCAGACAGATGGATTCGTGCTACCAATGTTGACAAGATGTGTTCCCGGTTTGCGTTTTCGATGCATTTTCCTACCTGATATACCGTATATGACACAAGATAACACACCCCCTGGGCCGATTTTCAAAGCTCGATTTCTCAACAGCAGGAAGAGTCACAGCGCCGAAAACGGCGGCGTTGGAACCGTCTCGTCGAGAGGTTTTCGAAAATGTATTGTTTCGTTTATGCATCCTCTTCGTCGTGGAGTAATCGAGCTTTGAAAATCGGTCCAGGGGGTGTGTTATCTTGTGTCATATACGGTAGTCTAATGGAACGTTTGAGGGATCGTCGATTGCTTTTGGCCTCCCATGCAAACAAAACGTATTCCTGATTCGACGACCCGCCTGCCGCGTACACTGACTATTGCGAGAGTAGAGTTCGCTCTACTTTCAACAAACATTGTCCATCTCAACGACGTATGGACCTGTGCGCTCCCGATCTCTAGTTCGGTTGGCATGCAAACGCTCACCTGGTAACACGTTGTCCTATCCCCATTCTGTTTTAGGTATGTATTTGATCTTCAAGTTAATTACTCCACAACAACCGCCTCGCTTCCCCGTTCCATGTTTTCTTGTTCGAAGGCACGTATATTCCCACGAACTCCTGCCCCCCCCTCCGTGAGAACAGTCCGGTTTGGGCACTGTCCCTGCTTGGTAGACAGGTAAGAAGATTCAGCAAGGCGATTGCCAGATAAAAACGGATTAAGACCTTCCTCTACTCCCGAAGCAATACATTATGTTTCACACGACCTCTGCCTCGCGTATTAGAGCTAGGGCGGTCGTGCTTCAGGAATGCTTTCAGATATACCCACTATGATTGGGTGTCGGCGCGTGTACGACGAGGTGGCGCCGAGATCGTCTCCTGGACCCGACCCGAGAAATATGCAGCTGCTGACTCCTCTTTATCAAATTACCCTGCCTTGTTCCGGTGGGTCCCACTGCAGAAGGAAAATAACTGCACATCTGGGTAGACTAGAGTGTGTGAAAAAGACCCGGTAAGGTCTCTATCGTTTGACTTTAACCGTAGTCGGTATACCTTCAGAGATCACCTACCCTCCTCCATTTGGACAGTATTTTGCGCTCTTATTGTGCGTTGCCTGTCTCTGGCAGGCGCAAAGTGACCAAAATATATTCGAGCAAGGTGATCGCGATCTACAGTGAGCGGTTCGTCTCGCAACTCCCTAGGGGGCTTGCTTCGTGAGGACGCATGCATTTGGAAACGCTCGATTGCCGAGAGCATCTTGGACAGAAGAGGGGTGATCAAGTCCCTATGTTATCAAGAGAATCAGTGAGGGACATAGGCGAGGCACGAAGAGACTCTCGCGTGGCACATCACGCGCGGCACATCAATCGTACGAATAACATCCACACGTGGATCCCGGAGGGCCCTCAAATCGGAAATTAGATACCTCCTTATCCATCGAAGGACAACTTGAGTCATCCAACAACCATCACGCTCCAGGAAACTATTGTCAACACACCTTATCAAAAGGCAAACGAACAAAGACTCACCCTTCCACCGAACAATACTCAGACAAAAGACTAACACTACATCAGAGTAGCGCCAGAACATCAGAGCCGCCACGGAGCCCCGGAAAAGATATCAACTAGGCAGATATCATCACACATCACGTGAGCAGCCATGTTTTTTCACGTTCATCTGCTCCAATACCGTAAGGTTGCGAGTCAGCGCACGGGGGTGCGATCGATTTTCAAAGCGTAATTTCTCCACAACCAGAAGGGTGCGAGCGCCAACTGATACTTCTCAGGAAAGCTCTCGATGAGATACCTCCAAAACCGCCCTCTTCGACGGTGAGTGGTAACCTCCTGGTTGTGGAGAAATTACGATTTGAAAATAGCTCGCACCCCTGTGTGCTGACTCGCAACCTTATGGTATGCTTCGCAAGCATGCACGCTTCCATCACGTCATCGCGTCACAAAATGCCTGATTACCCCGATAGAATACTGTCCATAATCGCCAACACATAGGAAACAACGCATTGATGAAGAATCTGGCATGAACAAAACTCCAACGTTAGTTCCCGTTTGTCCAACAACACCGGGACAACAAATTCGGACAACAGCCCCAAAGCTACTCCATTCAAGTTTCTTTGAAGAAGATTCTTATGATGAAGCTGGGTCACTAACTTCGGCGAGGGTCATGGGGTAAGCCTCACGGCGACAAAAAACAACACGCCTGCCTGTTAAATAGCAGGCACCAGATACTGCAAGAGGACACGGACCAATTGAATTCTTTCCAGCCGCCGCAGATAGAAACCGGGAACTCAAATAACAACAACACACCCCCATTTGCCACCAGTGCAGCGCAGAAAAATCACGGACAAACCGGAATATTGAGTATCCCCTCCCATTTTCCGCAAGTCATACTACGCGGGAGTGTCAACAACTCTGCTTGTGGTTCACCAGGGATGATGCCCCCCCACCACCACCAACACCATAATTTTCGAGAGCTGCATCTAAACGAAATCAAGCATCAGCCTTGCATACAGTGATACTCAAATCTCCAAATCAAACGAGGAACGTTTATTCACAGTCAACACGAAATTCGAAGTACCTTTTCGCAAGGTAAAGCGCGATCAGATATCCGCACACCTTCAAACATAAAGCGAAAACAAAGAAAACGAAACATCCGGTATCAAACATCAAACTATATCCCATAACGCAAATACATCTGCATATTTGTAGGGGAGCAGGTTGGACTCGTCAGGTAAGGAACGTCAGAGGCAGGGAGATGGTGATCACCACAGGATCTATCACATCCTGCTGTATGGTACTGTTCGTGGAAGCAGTTATCGAACCTACCCCTCCGCTCTAAGCACAGCAATTGATGCCCCCCGCCATCGAACACAGAAAACCCGTGTCTGGGGTATCGGCGCGTGCACGACGTCATCCCGCTCGCGGGCTCTTATTGACAGAAATTTGGGAGCAGAATCGTTGTGCCTCAGGTTCCTCTACTACCCAGTTCATCTTACGAGGGACATGGGTGAGGCCAGAACAACCTTGCTCCTCATACCCACCATTCCGACAACACCAGCGTATCCCTCGGATGCCCCGTGGATCAGGACTCTGCCGAGTATTTTCCAAACACGTTGTTACACTTTCTTCCAGTAGTACCCCCCTCCCTTGGGAGCGTGCCCGCCACCGGGGATAAACTGCCCTCCTTTATAGAAAGTTCGGACGCGACCCTTGCCGGCGGCGGGCCGCGACCGCGACCGGGTCGTTCCCTTACTTTGCGCCTCAGGCATGCATGATGATTGATGGGCGCTTTGCATCTGCATCGCTGCCGTCATCTGAGCTTGGTAGATCTGGGCCGCCGCATCCCGTTTGGCCTGCTCGGTGGCTTGGGCGGCTGCTTCGCGTGCTTGCTCCGCTCGCTTGTTGGCCTTGGCCACGTCCTGTGACAAGGCTTCTGCCTTGCCTGCAAATTCCTTCGCCTTTTCTTCCGCCTGCTCCTTTGCAAGAGCATTGTTCTTGCCTTCGATTGCCATGCGGTTGAGCTCTTGTACGTGCTCGTGTATGCCTGTGTATACAGACGTGGGGGAAGACATTTGCGTTCAGCAAGGTTGATTGAGGAGACGAATGCAGACGCGCAATAGGTGTGCACTCCTCCACCCAGTGTTCAGGCCAATCCTTCGTATGTTTCGTACTCTGGGGCGATGACACCATGCGGCAGGTAGCCTCAGGTGACTGAGATGAGAAACGCAATCTGCTGTCGGCGAGGTGCGGCAAATTCCGTTCAGACGTTTGTCGCAAAACAAATATGATTGTTCGTTCTTACCTTCGATGAGCTCCTTAAATTTCGCTTCTGACACGGACCACTTGAGTTCGGCCAGGAGGTCTTCGTCAATGGTGTCGTCCAGCGTCACCATTTTCTTTGTGTCGTTTTCAAGGTCTTCAAAATGGGAGTTGACGAGTTCGTCCCATTTCTTGACGAGAGCTGCATCCTCCATGGGGATGTCCAACTCCCCAACCTGAGATGGGTGCGTCCAAGTAATGCATCACACGCCGCGTCACACACATTCATGGGCGATTCGGGCGCGAACGGAGTTCGGAGTCCCCATTTTCTTGTCTACTGCAGTACATATCGCAGTGACTCTTGCACATCCTGTACCACTGCAATAGCTGTATTTTATTGCCCAACACCTACTCCGTCAAAATAACACCTACTCGGTCAGAATCTTGTGCAGTTTGTTTTTTTTCAAAGAGAAGTAACCAGAAACGGGTACCCGGGTGGATTTTCACCATTTCAGGGTACACTTGGAAATCAACACGACACCAATCTCCGACAGCCTCCGCCGTAGATCGCGGCGAAACCAATAAACCGCTGTGTCCTGTGTCCTGTGCCTCGGAAGCATGATGCATGAGGCAGGCCGTGCCCGTTTTGTCTCTCTGTGCCTCTCTCTGTGTACTTTTACTGATCAGCACCACGCCGAACGAACTCGCGGACTCGCAGGTCAAGCGAGTCCGACCCTCTGTCGAGAGGGGCCGGTATCCTATGGAGGCGGTACCCATCAACGAGCGAGCGTTTTGGTGGTTTGGTTGTGGGTATGAATGTGCGGTACACGGTATGTACGGTAAACGATTTTCTGCGGGTTTTATGCTAGAGTCGTCGGGCGCCGGAATTATATGACGATTTCTGGATACAAAACCGACCCCTTCCGGGTACAATAGGAACCAGTATCGGTTACACTAGAGGGTCGAGATGCCAGCGCCGGTTGTGCCCGATGGAGGTTTCTCCAAACGTGGGTACGATGGTGTTTCGGCCAATCAGCTGGCTGCCTGGGGGTGTTTATATGTGGAGTTCTAAGTGTACCCTAAAATGGTGATAAACCACCCGGGTAACCCGTTTCTGGTTATTGTTCTTTACCAAACAACCACTTGGTCAGAATGTTGTGCAAAGTAGTTGTTTTCAAACAACTCCTGCAAAACCGTTGTACGAAACAACTAGTAGAACCTGCAAATGCCGAAAGGCTCCACACAAATATTGAAAAATGTCGTGATTTGTTCCCTCGAGGGCTGTGAGAAACCCTTAGCTACCAAAATGAGAAAGAATTGTTAAGAAGTTGAAAATATTGTTTGCCAAAACAAATACTAGGTCAGAATCTTGTGCAACTAGTTGATTTCATTCAACTACGGGTAGTTGAATCCTTTCACAACTATTAGTTTAGTTGCTTAGTTAGAGTTGTACAGGGTGTGGAATCTTGTCGAGCCCACTTCTTTCAGCCTTGAGGGTGCATGACCCTTACCAAAAAGCATGGTTCAACAACTCTCGGGAGAATCTCTGCATCAATACGTAACAGCCCGGCTGCCAATATCTGCATCACCTTCTTGGAGATGGACGCTTTGGCCTCGTGAACCATGGCCTCCAGTTTGTTGTCGAGCTCGCGGCGCTTCTCTTCTTGGTTTCGAAGCACAACTTCGGCCTTGGGTAACATTTGCTTCTCCAGCGCGGTGCGGTGTGCTTGGGCGATGTCGTCCGAGATGCCCTGCAAGGCACGTGTTGGAACGGACGACATTACTTGAAGCGCCTCATCAGCGGCTTGCATGGGATGGAGTTCAACCGATGAGCGATCGGGCTGGGGAAAACTGGGTCTGAACCCAGGAGGGTCGTACACACTGCGCTTAGCACGGGGGCTTCCGCAAGGCCTCAAAGAGAGTGCCAAGCACACTCGCCGGCCCAACGGCGGAGGCAATTCTCCGCAGAGTGGTTCGGGTGACCGACAGAAGGTTCTGACACACAAAGCCAACATATGGCAGACAGTTCGCATTTGCTTCATTTGAGAGCAGCATCATACCTTTGTGGCGTCACCAAATTCCTCGAAACTGTAAACGCGAGCGCCTTCAATTGCCGATTTGATGTCCTGCGTGCTGAGCACCAAATTATCACCTGCCAGTGTGACCCAAAACTGGACAATCAGCTACCGCAGGCGAGCTAAAGAATTCGATACCGCAAGCTCGCCACCGCCGACAGGGGTACACTGAGCTGTACCCGATGACGAGCGTTCATCGGGTGCCGCACAGGCATTCCCATGCTTGCGATTTTCAAAACGTTTCGTTTTGTCTACGTACTACTGAATAGAGTATTCACGAACGTGATGAAAGCCGTTCGTTGGATATTGATCTCACCGAACACAGATGTCAACGTTTCGTCGAAGGTGACCAGAGCATCCGCGACGGCTTGGGCGGCCCGCCTGATGTATATGGCTTCGAGCACGCTGTAGAGTTCCAGGTGTTGGATGCATTCATTCGCACAATGTTGTCTGGCAATTTGTGGGGCTCGCTCAGTAGAGCCGGAATGTGCTCACCAGATTCACCGCAATATTTCCGCGGATCGGACGCTTCTCAGAGGTTGAGACAACTTGAATATCTATGCGTGTCAAGCGATTTCACAAGCACTATTCGAAAGCCGTGGAATTATCCATCCTTCACCATTAGGGAGCCCGGAGGGAATATCGTTCCTCCCAACACAACCCAATTTTGAATATCCACCCAGTGAAACACAGTACTGCAATTAAATAGAGCGTAGCCATGTGGCCTATGACAAGATGGCTCGGCAGCGACGCCATTGAAACCTTCCGCAGTACGTGCAAGACTTATGTAAAAGAGGAGCAACGGGGGAGTGAGTGGAAGCTTGGCACCCGATGGCCTAACAGAGCGACATGTTTCAACCAGCTGTGCAGAATGCAGTTGACTGTCAGGTCGCGCCTTCATGAACACAGGAGTAAAGTATTCAACAGGCACCTTGGAGGCGAGACATCCTCTGTTGAATTCACCGCCGCGCACAGGCCGTCCACAATCTCGTGTGTGTGCGTTCCACCAGCGATTTTCTTTCCCGCGAAGGTGTGGGGTGTCCCGAGGTGTCCTGCGATGATGTCCCGTAGTTGGTCTACCGAAACGTTGAATTTGGAATCGATTTCTGCCTTGGCCACCACTCGATCTGTGTATGGAACGTTGGCATTACCCCGGAGCAACGCGAAACACATGTGCCGGTGATGTTTCAACTTCACCGCACGTTCTTAACTCAAAATCGGTCGCAATATTTCTCGAACCGAGGAAAACAGTGGTCTTCGAAAATAGTTCATCGTTGTGTGCTTTGAACTTTCTTTTGTGCCCAAGTACAGCCAAAAATCTCTCAGGAAGGGAATATGAAGTCAACAGTCTCGACGGACTATGCCGCACGCGTGCTACCCCCTAGAGGTTTGTGGATGGTCACCTCCGCAGTCGGGATGGGGGCGGGGCATCGCGTGAATAGTGATGCTCGCAAAACCTTCCCGTAGTCCATCACGGATCGTGTTCCTTTCGTCCATAGCGCGCCTGTCAGCAAGCTTCGTTCTGCCAGCTCCTGCCTGCTCGCTGTCGAGGACCAGCCTCCTGACTTCTTCGGCCCTGTCTGACTCACTCTCTGCTCTACCCACATCTCGCATCAAAATGATGAGGTGGCCGAAGTCACGTTCCCCCTTGTTGTTTTGAGTAGACACCTTGTCAGCCGCTTGCACCATCACCTCTAGTTCTTCAAGCATCCGGTGTTTGTTCGGAAGAGACATCCAGTTGTAAATTACGACCTGCATACGAGACAACACTCGTGTCATGGTTTCGCTAGAAGAGCAGCAGCATCAAAATTTCAACCTTCACTCGTGAGCTTACCGATGGCAGAGCTGTAGAGCGACAAGTTTGCAGGTGGCCAGTTCTATTCCCCCGAGCAGAGCGGAAGGCTGGAGGGCCGAACCAAGACTACTGTACAGTGGTACACCAAATGACGGATTCCTCCCTAACTTGCGGCAGCGAAACAACACCCCGCTGCGTGTGCGAGGATCGAACTTTGAGTGAATTCCTGGTGGGATTTTGGTACACGAATACACGCCCCATTGCTTAGTAATGGTCCGAAACAGTGAAGATAAACACCTACAGTAGCTAGAGATTTGTTTACAAGGGACAATCCATTTGAGATTGTTCTCGTTTTCTGATGAAAACTTGAAATATTAGTATGGAGTTTCGCCGTCCATGAATCCCATACCTTGGAAACCAACAAGAACGGGGTTGCCAGTCGCACGTCGTGATCAGTGGACTTGTCGCCTTGACCCTCCATGTCCACGAAAACAATCGCTGGTTCCGAAGGTGAGGGCCCAGAAGCCTTGCTGCTGCTGCCGGAACCTCTTCGAAAGTCGGTGAGTGACATGACGATTGAGGAGAGGTCGGCTCCGGCCGTGCAAGGCTCGGTATTCGCTGATGCACGAAACATCCCATCATGACCCGTTAGCTGATTCATGAGAAAAGACTTTCCCTTCCTGGCGTTGCCTACTATCGTCACGATGTTCAGTGGTTGATCCTGGGGTACACCCGCCAGCACATCACCTGCGCCTTCGGTCGCACGAAGAGGGCCCGCCTCGTTGTCGGCAAGCACCCATTTGATAGCTGTCGATGCGCCCAAACGTTGACGTCCCATGTTTTAGCAATTTAGCGGAGGGAGTATATTCGTCTCGTATTTTGACCTCTGTCGAGGGTATGCTCTGGCTTTTTTTTGGGAGCTTGATGAAAGTATGGCCTGCGGTCCCGCTAGAGCGGATCGACGGGGAAGATGGGGTAGAGAGGCGCGATGGATGAAGATGCAGATACCACGAGATTGGAACAGGAGATCAGGACTCACGAAAAAATCAAAATTGCACCGCGCAGTTGCACGCAGCCTTGATTTCGTTGAAACGGCACCTATTCGCCCGCTTTCATCATGTGACTGCGGGGATGCTGTGCTATATGTACCACACACTATGCACCTTTGCATACCGAATGCGTCAGAAGTATCCCTACATCATATATTTTTCATAACTACTGTCTGTTAACAGAAAAGTCTGATTAGCTCTGAGACAAAAGATGTTTCGGTTTCGTTCGATCCAACGCTTTGGGCCGTCTCCGTTGACGTGTGGTCCCTCCCTGTGGCTATGCGTTCGCGCACGGTTGGGCACGTCAGGACTGTATGCCTCACCAATGTACTCGAATATAGTGGCAAACGCGTAGGTCCTGACTTCTCTGACCAACACACACCTGGGATCAAGGTCAAGGTACCGCTGCTCATGCAACGCGACAGGAGACATACATATGTGCACGCGAATAGGTGCCGTTTCGGCAAATTCGGCGCGGGGAATTTTCATCCATCTCGCCTTCTTGAAGCTGAAATCCACCGAAACGGCCTTCGCTTTAATGTATTTTGTGCTATTAAAATAGAAGAAAATACACAACAACGCTCACAGCCACGCGCCATAAAAATCACTTCAGAAGCGTGGAGCAAAAGAAGGTGAGTCGTGTGGTCCGCACACACACCAAACTGCAAAGGAGAGCGCAGGGAGTGTGTCTTCCTGCTCGCTCATTCGGTATTCTCACACGCGTCCTACGGAAGCCTTAGAGAGGGATTGTGATCTTCTTGTTTTGTCTATATGTCTGCCGTCTGCCTGTCTGTAGGAAGAGTTGAGCTGGTTTCTGGAAGTTCGATACACGCATGACGTCGCAACCATTAGACGAATGGCGAAAGGACGACCTGTGTGCTGCTTCCACGTCACAGTTGTCTAAACTGCGTGTTCAGTGAGTTGTGTGTGTTCACTTCGGCATGGATTGAAGTCAATCGTAACGACACGCTCCAATCAATCGTAATGCTCCGCTTGGTAGTTGTATGTGCGAGGGATCATGGAGCGTATGTGCGCGCGACAGTGTTTTCAACCTATACATACATTTGAATTGTTCTCCAACAGTTTACCATGTGCGTATTGTTGCTGCTGTTTTGCTGCTGACACCATTGCCGTTCAAAATCGGACTGATCTATGTCCAGCGAGCACCCCCCATGTATCGTTGTAAACACGACGTTTTAGTGCTTGCACGGTATGTAGCTGACCCCAAAATATGAAAAGATTCGCATGGCGAACAAATCGATATATCCTCAGGGCAGCAAGCCCAAAATAGAGTAGTCTGTAGTAGAAATTTGCGAAGGGTGTTTGCTCTATTTCGGCTCATTTTTCGTTGTCGTGTGGCCGGAGTTGCCAAGAGCGAAGACATCGTTCGAGTAGGTAGGTCAAGGGCACGGAGGACTCAGCGAGGAATTCGGTAAAATACATCATTATTCATGACAATCACATCAATCTCGGTGCGACGGCCGTAGAACCGAGTATAGTGAACGAATCGTGCGAGTACACCCCAACGCAGTTTCTTTTCTGTGTGGTAGATTGGGCTGTCCCTGCGTTGCTTCTTTTCTACACATACTCACAAACAACTGTGCAAGCGGTGTGATATGTAGCCTCCCCACAGATTCAACAAAGACCGACCGTTCTGTGCCTTTCCCCGTCCTTTCATCTCGCGTGCTGTCTCATTGTTTCACATCAAAAATTGCACCACAATAATATATAATATCGCAATGACTCCACGGAGTGATGATGCGCACGAACATTTGTAGGCTAGAATATATCTTGTTCGAGGCATACATGTTTCGGATAAGTTTAGTCTCTGCGTGCTGCTGAATGCGCCGCCCCTACCCGGACCCACTCGGTGATTTGGCAAAAACTTCATCTCTATCCACAGATAAGAGTCCACAATAATGCCGCAAAATTGAATCACACCCCAACGGCCATCATGCATGGTTGCTGTGAACGGCCCTCTTGCGGTACGTTGGGTTCTACCTTCGACAATAATTGAAGACAAACCCGCAACGAGCGACGAGGCGTGATTAAAGAGAACGTCTTGGCGATCACAAGGCTACTGCCAGACCATTAGTGCCGGCCTGCAACAAACGTAGATTGATACAGACTCGATCATGTGAGCAGTTCATCTGGTGACGTCGCCTGCATTGGTGAAATTCGAAGAAATGCGTCCAAATATATTTTATGAGACAGAAACAAATGAAACCAACACAACTTGAAGATCGTCCTCTTTGGCTGCTATTGTACGACAAACTAAAATGCTGCAGTGCACAAGCTCATGATTGAAATCGAAGTCGCCTTTCTACTTCGATGCGGCCGTACACGGGAGCCTGGTATTGCTCAGCTAAATGCATCCCGCTATTTCTTGTGTGTGATGCATCCGATGCTGCGTTTGTGGTGCCATGGGAGTATCGATATTGAAACCCCGCGCAGCGGGTGTAGTGTAAAAGCGCTCAACGGACCATCCATACCGGACCTTGGCCCGAAAATCGGCCATGAAGGTTTTCCTTCACAACTTGATATGACGTTTGGGCGAAAATCGCGCCCGGAGTCCGCAAGGGGGGCTCTCTGTTTTGTCTTTTCCAAGGTATTTCGGTGCCGCTCAACACTCCTTTGCTTCCCGGCCAACCTTACTGTGCCCAAACGACAGCAGTGATGGACCCAAGTTCAGCTGTAAAATGGGTTTCCACCAATCCGGAGGCGAAGCTGAAAGTGTCACCGGCAGCTACCAACTTATTGGTCAGCAGCACCCGGCCAGCTGCGCCGGTCAATCTCGTCTCCATCCTCGGACCGGCGAGGAACGGAAAATCATCTCTCATGAACACCCTTGTCGGAACGGGCGACACCTTCGCCATGTCCGATAGTGTGAAGGCGTGTACCAAGGGAGGAGACCTTTCGCGATCCGTGGTACGGCTTGCGGACTTCGAGAACACCGACCGATATCAGTCGGACTGGGCGACATTTCGCTCCACGCCGAACCGTGGCCCCGATGAAGACATCTACGTGGCCTTTGCGGACGTTGAAGGTCAAGGAGACGAGTGTGAGGAGCACGACGTTCGTTTGGCTACACCGTTTCTTCTCCTGTCCAAGGTACGCCCTTTTTGACTCCTCACTACAATACTGCAGAGGTTTCCCGTTTTCACAGTTGAAAGTGGCAGGTGTCGACGACCATGGCTCCGATTCGTTTTTTGCCTCGTCTCTCCGACCATAGGATCCCTCCGTGCCTTCGTGTAAATGAACGACGTATGGAAACTGATGCATACCCCAGGTGATCATCTTCAACTGGCTAGGAAGGCCGAACAAGACCACCATGCTCGAAAAACTCGAGGTTATGGTTTTGGCCACTGACAAAATCAAGCAGCAAGACGGCGATGGTGGTTGTTTTCACGAGAAGGTTTTCGGCCATCTTATCATCCTCGCGCGCGATTTAAGTGGCCCCGAAAAAGCGGAGGAAATCAGGGAACTTCTCCTCAATGACGAAGATGCTGGACCCTCCAAGGACAGGAAGGGAGCAACCAACAGGAATACGATACGGGCGGGTCTACGCAATTCCTTCGAAAGCATTGTGGTGCGCACGCTGCCCGTCCCCCATCCAAGTATAACGGGTACGTTTCTGTGTCGTCCTCCTCATGTCGTGGCCGATTTTCATCACTCTTACCACAATTATCGTGAGTTGTTCACTATCAAAACCCTCTTCCCCTCTCCGTCCCATCCGGTCTGTCTGCGCTCCGCTGCACGATCAGAGTTGGGCACAGCAATTCCACTTTCTGACTTCACACCGAAGTTCAAGGCCACAGTGAAAGATCTCAAGGTCGACATCGTTGAAATGCTTAGGATTCCCCATTTTTTCGGGGGTAGCCCCATACTCGGCGGCGACACGATCTCCAACGTGATGACATCTTTATGCGACGCCGTCAATGACGCGAAAGACATATCGCCCCCCAGGTGACTGGCACGTATACCCTCCGAAGAAGAAAGAGTGAAATTAGAAGAGATGGGGAGGGGTTTCACGTACCTTGGTGTACTGTATCGACGAGTCCAGAAGAGCAACCGAGACCCGACTTTGCGTACTGCATGAAGTCCTGCAGAGGCTGACCCACGCAAAGGTTCTCATTAGAGGAAGAGCGTTCGCCGTACGATTCCGAACTCCGGGTTCAGGTAGCAATACTTGTGGCCGTTTGGGAGCATTTACATACATACGCGTGTATACATACGCATGTTTGAATCTCAGGTTACTCGGCCCGTCATGTAGGTACCCTTGAAGCGGCGATGTGCGTTACACTTCATTAATGTGCGTACTCACTATATTGCTTCCGTACGCACTTTGGTTCCGCTCAGCTTGCTGCAGGCGATCGACTTGCAGAAGGTTCAGAAAGCCAAAGCGGATGCACTTGTTCTTTTTGAACTCTTCCTCGACGAGGTGTCAGGTAGGCCGTACAACGTACGACGACTGAGGATTTGGTGTACTGTAGGCCCGGTGCGAGAATCGCGAAGCACTCTCAAGCTTGCCAGTGAGCACAAATGTTCACAGCTCTCCTTTTTCGCATGCGCGCTAATTGTCCCGTGTCACTCAGGGTATACTTTCAGCTCGATGCTAGCATCCACACGCATCGAGTCTGCGAAAACATCGGCAGTGGCTGAGTTCCAGCACCTCGCCCAGGTGGGCGAGACCGTTGTCTGGCATGCAATTGCTTCGCGCCTGCAGTGGCATCCTCCGGTTCTCATGCGCATCCTACACCGTTGGTGTACACAATAATGATCGATCCAATCATCAGGCTCACTCCGTCGGCTCTCCACTGTCAGGATTGTCTGGACGAACTGATCATTCTATTGTGGGCTGCTGTTTTGAAGAGGGAAGACACTTGCGTGTGATTGACGTCCGCTCAACCACAACTGTGGGCGTTCTTCCTTTGCATTGTGACTCAAGGGCCCGTAAGATCGACCGTTGCTATACAAGCTCATGGTGTGCATGACGTCTCGCACGTGCTGCAATCTCATCAGCCTGCCGCCCAGGACGTTGTCCAAGAGGAGGAAGAAAAGCTCCAGAAAAATATGGCAGCTCTCGTGGCCGCCGCCGTCGGGCTGCAAGACAAAAAACGCCGCGACTTGGACAAGCAACTGAAGGATGCTGCAAAGAAAGGACTTTCGTCGGTGGACGACCAGGTGAAGAATAGAACGCACGAAAAAAACCGAACGGGGGGCGCGCTCCGTTGCCTTAAATCGTCCCATAGACTAGAGTTTCACCGTGCAGACCCGGAGCTCATGTGTAGTATCATGTCAACCAGGGTGAAGCCGACCCACCGCCCCCAGGGGGCGGGGGGGGGATTAGGTGATAGAACTCGAGTAGGTCTGCAAGAACGGCCGACATGTGCTGCGCTCCTATGGTCGATACTGTCGCCAATCATTTAGTACGGGACCTCTCGACCATTTCGTGTGTACAATGCGAATTTCGTGTTAAAAGCATTCGTTCCATACAACTGACACTCGCTCGCGTCAGTCACCAATCAATCCTCCTGCATTCGGAGCGGCAGTGGTCGATACATTTGCAATTTTCGTGTAGACTAAGTGCTTTGACGATAGCAACGAACGATCGTAAGAAGAAATATGTGACCCTCGAATAAAAACGAAGAAACAAGATATCGGTAAAGTATTTGATCAGGCGGGATGATGAAGGTACTGGGTAGAGAGATGGAACGTTTATTACTGTATAGACAACAACTCAACACCAACACCAACACCAACACAGCAACAACAAAAATGGGGTATACCCCGCGTGTTTAGGCACAAAATAGGGTATTTGTTTTTTCGGTGTGGACGCAACACCGAGTCGGCAACGCCTGACGCCGGGTAGGCGTCATTAATCTGCCTTCAGCGCTTCATCCTCATGCGCCAGGTCCTTAGGAAGGACGCCCAACTTATTTTTTTTTCACCCACAGGACCAGGGTAAGCTAGAGCCTGGAAGAGGGGAGCTTGTTGGAGAACCTCACCCACAGGACCAGGGTGAACATATTTTGCACGTCAGACCCGTTTCGCCCACCAACAAGTGTCCTCCTTGTCGAGAGGCCCTCAACTCGCGCTCCATATTTCCTAGCGGTGTACGTGTAGTCTATTCTTGCTTGCCAAGCACAAAATCATCATCCGAAGCGTCCTTCTGCTCTTCTCGTGCCTTCGTCTGAACGTCTTCGGACGCTGTAAACAGGCAAAGCGAATGTCGGTGCCCCTGTCGCATCCCGTTACGGTCGAGAGGGCATGGGACCGGATTATCAGGGACGCCTTTGCTGCTTTCACGAAGGACCTCGCCAGGATCATGCCAGGCCGTTGTCAGGGTGACGTCGCGCGTGACCTCAAGTGGGCTTTGACGAGGACCGAGTTTTCAGATAAGGCACAAGGCAAGCAAGAAATAGGGCAAAACATACGTTGTGAGGCGACTGGTGTAAACACCAAATCACTTTGTTTTCCCGCAAACAGCTGATGTTTCGACATCCAGAGGAGAAGGTTGAGTACCGATCACAAACCGTGAACGTTGGGGTGACGAGACTTGAAGGCGGACAGGAGCAACCTTGGATATTGATCCGCTGTAGTAGGTGTAGCATCTGCTGTTACACAGTTCATGCTGTAATTGGAGTGACGCATCCAAGACACGGGACGAGCTGTACACCGGCATGGGACCTCCACACCCCGGGTTGTATTCGGCGCCCAACCTACCCAGAACCTCTGCCCTCTTACCACTCGTGGTGGGTTCGAATCTCGGCGCAGCCGCGGATAGGTCCTCGCTGCATGTCCGAAGAAGGAGGTAGAAAATCGACTAGATTCGGAGGATACAGCTTTCGAATCCTTGGAACGGCTACATATATAGTTCCACGCCGCGAAAACAATGAACGCACCGCGAAAGTGACGTGGAATTAAAACAATCCAATCGGATACATGGTGATCTTCTTCGCATGCGACTCCGTCTGGGGGAGCCCAAAAATCCGAAATAGTACAAAATATTAGATACCCGGAGTACGTTGAACATGCTTATGGCATTGGCACTGATCCCCCCCACACCTTTCCTTGCTTCGTTTGGCTTGACCAGACTCATTTGTGCGTCTGAAATCCCGGAACGACGGAGCCCTGCAGCTCCAAGCACACAGAAAGCAAATGGAGGACGCGCATAGACGCGAGCGGGAGGCTCGAGAAGAGGCACGGAACGCCCTACAGGACAGGCAGAGGGCCGAGAGAGCCGCTCGTGAAGCGGAGCAAAAGGCTGAGGAAGACATGGAGGCCATGCGTACGCAGCTCCTATGGTCGATGGCACACCACGATGTGTGCTCACCCCCGATGCGTCATCACCCCCGCCGCATGCCTAGGTCTCGGTCGCTGGAATACGGTTGGCGCCCCACGCCTTCTTCGAGGGGGAGGTTTTACCCTGGCGGGGTATTTATCCCCGGTGGTGGTCGTGCACCAGCCGGAGGCATATGGATGTAACCAATCACCGGCAGCTGGGTTCTAAATATCAGACACAATCGATGGTGCATTCAAACATGGACCGCGAACACCCTCAAAAGACGCTTTCGTTGCAGCGGGGGTGAATTTTCCCCTTAAAGACTGTAGTTTGTCAGGTGCGAAATCGGATCTGCGCATCTTGGAAAGAAGAGACAACACTACTATTGTGAGGTCACGGTTGGATTGAAGGAAACAACCGACATTAGTGGTGGAGCTTGTAGGAAGCCGCTATGCCCGTTTTTGGTAGGTTTTATCGGTGGTGATAAACGCAAACAATAGCGCGATGGCTATATAGGTTATATCAACGCAGTGCTGTGCTATCTATGATCTATCGAATCTGTTTCGGAGACAGATATCCTTTGAGGTTCTGTGAGTGATATTGCCTTTGCGAAGGGCTTGAACGATAAGCGGTTGTTCATGTCGAGCGTGGCAAGAGTCAAGCCTGCAGTAGATAGAGGGGGGGTCGCTAGAATACACAGGGGCAAAATGGAGAGGGGCGGTCACTGTATGTTTCCGTTCTTTGGAGCAGCGATGAGAGTGTGCATAGAAGAGTGGAAACACTTTTAACGCGACGCAGAAGATTGTCTTCTATTTGCGTGTATTTTCTGATGTGTAACAAATAATTGAATTGAAAAAATGAATCGCGTGTTTACAAGGGGGTTCATCTTTTTTCAATCGCATTTCAAGCGGATGTGGATTTGAATCGTTACCGTGTACGTGCAGCAATGTTGTTCGGCGAATCCAACCCTGCAACACCACTGTGTCGCAGGATTGAGGGTAAATCACCTTGCGAAAAATCATGTTTGCTCGTGAAGGGCATTGTTTTCAGTTATTGCGAGACGACAAACTACTTTACAGTAACCAACATATCGCGTGGAAACACCCGATACTGTGACTTCACGTGAGGTCCTCGCAAGACGTTGGAGATGACGGAACCAGTTCGAAATTTCGCATGCCTCGTAGTTTAGTTGACAAGAGCTCCATAGATCGTTTCCTCACGTAACTTACCTACTAAGCGTGCAACGCCATCCATCCCACGCTGTTTCCCTCCTACTGGGTCCACATAGTCTTAACGATTTTCGCCCTGGGGTTCTGTCTGCATTTGCCTACCGAGCCGCGACAAGAGGTTAATCCGCCGCCGTCTCAGCGAAGTTGCGGGCCTCCTCAAAAGGCCCGAGCGTCACCAAAGTTTGCGCCATGGGAGCCAACGCTTCGGCATGGTAAACGTCGTGTGTGTGTCGTGCGTTCCAAGAAATTTCGACTGCAGACCTTTTGTAGCAAGTATCTAAGACATTTTCAAGCTTCTGCATGGGTCTGCTGCCCTAGCAATCTTAGGGTTAGGGTTAGGGTTAGGGTTAGGGTTAGTAAGGGATGGTCGCGTTTCTAGCCGATATTCGCCATCTCTTGCGATGTTCTCATAACACGACGCCCCCGCGCGCGTGCTCCCTCACGGCCACCTCCGTGGCCAATAATGACTTGGGCCGCAGCACACATTTTGCAATCTTTTGTGGGTATTTTTTCCACGTTCTTCCCTCGTTCCGTTTTGTGTCGTCTACATGAGGTGTGAACTTGAACTCTAGCCTGACTCACACACCTTACGCGTTCACCCTCTGATGCTGGCCCTTGCGTCGTGTTCTGTGGGCTTTGTCTTCCCGTACCTGAGCAAAAAGAACGGGATCAGGGAGATCGGGCTGACACTGTCCGGCCATGCCGACCTGGTGGGTCTCTTCAAGGAGAGAAAATTTCGGGCCGCATCGCGAATGAGTTGCTGCCAGAGTTGCTGGGAGGGGAGTGGAAAGGGGGCGTAGGGGAGCTTGTGGAGGGGAGGGGGATGCAAGCCATTAATGATCCTGCTGGGATCGAGGTTTTCGTGCGGTGAGAGACGAAAGGCGGGTTACCGAGGCGCGTGCGTGTTTTTGTTGCACGAGTCGTCCCGGTGGTCTGGATGACTCCATCCTGGAAAACCGTCACAAATCCAAAGTCGTGAGTTGAGATCCCGGCGTAACACTTTTGTTGGTTCGTGAGGTGACTGGTGAGATACTGACGAGCGAGGAGGGTTTGCGAAACACTAGTTGCGGTAGGATTGGAAGCTTGAAGGCGGGGGAATTTCCACTTGTGAACGGATCAGAGCTCCTCTGTAGACAAGGCAAGGGCGTATTGCAAGTATATGTTACCAGCGACTCTTCTAGCGCGGATGGCGGCAACAACAAGAAACGACCGGTTGATTTTCGATCATCGTACTTTCCTCCTCGTTGGTCTCACTTTTGATAATCACGCCTGTGCTTCATGACTCGAATTCTGCGACCCTTGGCCTTCAGGAAGATGTCTATTTTCCTCGGCTATTTGTCGTCTATTCTAGCAGTGATGTGATGAAGGCCAGCGCGGACAAGGTGGAACAGTTCCGCTTGGGCAAGACCAAGCTGCAGGGTTTCTTCGTGGGACAGGCGGTAGCCTTGTCTGGGGGCACGGTGGACCCGAGCTAACGAGAGACGTCGCGCGAAGAAAGCTTGAGGACGTTGGGGTGGAGGCTGGGCCCTCGTCGTGCCGCTGCAGTTGCTAGTATAGCATAGGCGTCACGAACTGTACCACACCCTTGAAGCGCTGTTGTTCGAGAAACGATTGTGCTTCATGATACATCGGTCTCCACCTAACCATGCACATCATTTGTTTTTTGGGGCGTTGAGTGGTTTCTTTGGATGGTGGATGTATGTCGGAGATTGGACTTGTGATGCTTTTACGAGAAGATTGTGAATGAAGATTCTGCATCACCGTCATGTCCTCTTCGCCCATCCTACCAACGAAACGATGCGTTGTCTAGTCTGAATTCTAAGTTGTTTTTGTGCACGCAGTGTTTCTTCCCTCACACCATAGTCTCAGTAACCACGTTCGCACCACAGTTAATAACCCCGGCCACACGTTGTCAAACCGTCGTAAACGAGGCGACGTGTCGCAGTGATCTCTTGGTCCCGGAGGTTATTACTGTTTCCCGACCCGTCTATTCTGGGCGTCAGTCTTCACCTTCCGGTATGCAGTACGTGTTACGCGCCAGCCGAGGTCCCACAAAGAATAGAGGAATTCTCCATGTATGTGCTTGCGGCCAACCGTTGTGTTGGGTTTGCTCACGATCTATTCGCCCCCCCTCCTGCAAAACTGCGAGAAGTTTCGTCACTTTGAGTAGACTCGAACGCACACAACCTAGAGTCGGTCGTGTGTTCAAGGTTAGGAATGCAGCTCTGGCACTGACGTTGCTGTTGTGTGACCGAGCTCCCAGCCCAAAATGAGGTCGCGTGTCGTGTCGATTGTTTTTACCCCGTGTATTGGTTGGAGTTGAGCGATTTCTTCCCCGACAAATACGAAAAGACATCGTAATGTTCTGCCCCCTTCTTGGGCATTGCCCTGTCTCATCCGGCCTTGCCAACTTGTACAAGCGTGTAGCGTACAATTGTAGTCATCACCCGCGTTTGCCCCTGAGAAGTAGTTGAGCGAATACTTCCCGACAAACGCCGCAGGATATCGTAATGTTCTGCTCCCTTGAGCTTTGTCCTGCGCGCGTCTGGCCTTGCCAACGTGTATAAGCGTCCAGAGTAATCATCACCCGTTTGCCCCCCGACAAGCATAAATAGAGGCGCAAAATATGTCACGTGCATGCAGGTCACGTGAGTGACAACTACTGTTACAGCACTTGTCTCGTTGGTACATGTGTAGACCACAGTAGCTGCAATGGCCTACACCAGTATGTAGCAGTAAATGCCCCCAGCACCGAGGAACTACCATTAATGCAATTGAAACAGGATAAAGCTTCCGGCGGCCCCTGCGCGGAGAGTGTGGCCGCCTCCAATTTCGCCGTCGGCCTACAGTACTGGTATCCACGTATCCACAGATGCTTGATGCTTGATGGGATGATGGCGGACTGTACAAAAACGGGAAAACGCGGCGTGATTGCCACGTTATACGTTATTTCGCCGCCTCTCCGCCTTCGTGCGCGCTCGCTTTCTCCGCCCTATGTAATGTTTGCTGTCGGCGCTTGGCCACTTTCTTGGCAGCAGCTGTCTCCTCACCGAAGGCTCACCGATTCTTCATTCGTTTCCTGAGACACCAGCCAACGTGGACAACGGTAAAAGTTAGCGCTCTCCCACAGGTATGACAACCCTGGCGCCGCTAACGCTCGCTACGAAATAGCACCGCACACAGTCGATTGGTGCTGCTGCTGCAGTTTCCAAGCGGCGAAGTGCCCAACGTTGGGTCCGCCCGACGTCGGCAGCGAGCGCGAGTTTCTCGACTTACCGGAGTCCCCCCCTCAACTCAGCAGTTGAGATGGAAAAAGGAATCGAGGCCACCATGGCAACCGAAGAGGACCGCACAGCCTTGGGTCGTTTGGAGACGATACTGTTATCGATTAATTGTTCCAATTGGTGTGGAAGAACGACCTCAGCGCAGTGGGCGGAATGGCTTCGAGCCCCCCTGGAGCACGCTGTTGCTGAGGGCGACAAGGACCTTGCCTTGACCCTGCTGAATGCCGGGGCGAACGGCGGATCAGGCTGGAAGGGTTGTAACGACCGCACTCTACTCCAGGCGGCTGCCGAGGGAGGAAACGAGGAGGTGGTACGCACGTTGCTCGACATTGAAGGCATGGAGGAAGTGGACGCGGTGTCTAGCGACGAGGGCGGGACTGAACTCCACCGTGCAGCCGCTGGCGGACACACCAATGCGGCGCGTGTGCTGATGCTGGCAGGTGCCAGCGTTGGTCTGGTTGACAGCAAGGGGATCACTGCCAAGCACTACGCCATCGAAGGGGGGCACCTGCCGCTCGCCGAAGAGTTGGTGATCGCTGGAGCCGATCTCGAAGCCAAGGACGGCGACAGCAATACGCCTCTTCATCTTGCTGCCGCTCATAACGACGACAAGTTCATCCGTACACTGATACGCAGGGGAGTGCGCGTTTCGGTGGTCAACAAGGCAGGACAGCAGCCGCTTCACATCGCGGTCGAGCGTGAACACGTGGCCGTTGCGAAAGCTCTTTTGAAGGCCGGTGCTGATCCCGACGTTCGTTTCGGCGATTCGGAGAGATGCTCGCCGCTCCAGCTCGCGCGTAGCAATGCGGAGATGACTAACATTCTGCTTGGTTCGGGTGCGGACGTGAAATCAGTGGACAGGTTAGGGCACACTGCTCTACATTGGGCTGCCTTCGACGGCATCCAGGAGGTTGTCCACGCACTAGTTGAAGTGGGGGCCGATGTCGAAGCACGATGTTTGGCTCAGCTGCTCTCTGAACAACGCCACTCGTTGAAGGGATCGACGTCTCTTCATGTCGCCGCCTACTGGGAGACGCTCGACACTATGCTCGCACTTCTTCAGAAGGGGGCCAACGCCAACGCACCAGACGACGACGGGCATGGGCCCCTTCACCTGGTGTGCAAGTATCCCAAGGCAAGGTCGGTAGCTGTGGCCGACCTTCTTCTGAGATGGGGCGCAGAAGAGACCGCTACCGACAACGATGGCAACACCCCCGCAGACTTTATCCAAAGCAGCGACGAGTCCGACGGACGGCTGCAACGGTTATTGGCGAATGCTCCGGCAGGCAGGGCCTGGCGTCGGCGGGGTATGGTGATTATGCTGCGTGCCCAGGGTGTGGAGGCGTCCAACGCGGCTCCGGTATACAGGGCATGCCGTCGGCGGGGTAGGTGCGTACCCAGGATGAAGCCGCGGCAAACGTGCCCACCTGGTCGGCCTGGAGGACGAAGCACTGTTCCAAGCAATCGTGCGGTTTTTGTAGGAAGACGCGAGGAAAGGTGGGGTGGAGTACACTGCGGTTTGCTGATGGCAGCCCGATCCTTGTAGTCTAAATAGATTTCCTAGGCGCAAAGTCTCTTCTTGGTTGTTGGTGTTCCGTTCGCTGTGCTAGCAGACTCTCTCGGCGCGCGCAAGTCACGGTCTGGTGAATACCACCATGTCTTACCCGAAACCAACTAGGCGGTTGCTGTGATCTCCTGCATGTGTGTCTATTTGACTTTTTGAATACATGGCACTCGTCGAAGAAAACAATGGGTTCCTTCTTCTAGTTCCTGTTGCAGGAAGCGCTCGCACGCACCAAAGAATGTTAAGAAGCACATCATCGTTGAACTCTTCAATGACATTGTACGTTGTGCACCACTGCAGTAGAGGCCATGTGTAGAGAGCGGCGGCATATACTGCTTGGCGCTATGCATGCTCGTATGGAAATGGAAATGTTAACGCATTTTCCACGCGTTAATATCAATGTTCGGTAGCGGCGCATGGATTTGTAGTCGGCATGGTGTCTGTCGATTGGTTTGTCGCGTAAGCGTAGGAGCTGCAGCGTAGTTCGTCTTGTGGCCCTGCAATCGGCCTTACTCTTTGTTATTTCTCTGTGTTGCGAGCGTTTGTCTGGGTATCTCTGCCATCCTTGCCGTTCCCGACGATATTTCCATCGTCCGGCCTGGATCACCGTCTATGTACTCTCTGTGTACCAGCCACAGTCTTGTGTTAGCCGCTAGCGCCATGACTACAACATCACACAATGTTCTTTTGCGAGATGCTGCCGTACTTCTGACACCGAGATGTGAATGTGTGGAAGACTTCAGGCCGCGCTCGAGCCACGAGGCCTCGAGCGCTCTTTTCCATTTTTGTTACAATATTTTTGGGCTTCTGTTGGAGGACAAACGCGTGCAACCTCGAGAGAAGGTCCCACGTGGACTGGATTTCTGCCATGACGTTCCACTTCATGGAGTGGTTCGCTCTCATGGAGAACGTAAGCAATTTCACCAAACACAACTGTGCTTTTTCCTATCTCGATCTGACCAATCAGCTACAACGAGCATTTCGTAAAAGCTCAAGCATCCACATGGTGGTGCCTCGATATGCGTCTCGAATCCCTCTGTCGAAACTTTCGGCGCAAGAGGTGGGTCTCCATGCCTATGTACACGGCTTCTATTGGCGAGCTCCCTCCACGGAGTGACGTCACGCAATATGTATCGGCAAAACCGTCACTGACAGGGGCAGCTGTTCTCGAACAGTCGATCGAAGATAGGAGTAATAGACAAGCTGCAGATCCTGGCCGCGGGGATCGTGAGTTTTGACGAACACTGGCCACACTACTACACAAGAGAGTCATCCCACTTTGCGTCTAACGCTTGAAATCAGTACCGGGGGCCATTCTAGCCATGTTGATGGTTCAGGAACTACATGAAGCGTATTATCCTCGGGGATTTCCACGACTCGTCATGCAGAAACATCGACCTTTGACCGTGTGAAGGATTCAAGTGTGTTCGGCATGTCGTCAACTCCCACAATCGCAGCCCAGTGAATTCGTTCAAATACATGACCCGGGTAAATGACAACACCACAATTTTGCCGGGAGGGTGAGCTGCGTTCGATGAAGAAATGTACGATGTGTGCCGAAGCAGAGCAGGGTCAAACGCTTGCACAGGCTGAAGTGACAGGGGAGAAAGATACGATCCTCCCCACGGTCGATGGGATGTGCAGGCGCGCTTCATACGAACAATTGACGCCGACTTGGACTGGTTGTTCCCCCAACTTGGCGGTTATGTCAATTCTCCTTGTGATTTGAGCATTTTGTCAAGTCGATGGCGACACGATGACAGCCATCTGTGATTGATCACGCTGTCTAGTCCGCCAGTGTCGACCGTTTCACGCCTGCAATGCGGCGTTCCCAGTATGCATGAAATGTACAGTAGGTGATGTACACGATGCCATCCCGCCCGTCGTATTGTGGGTAGAGAGGGAGCGTTTGTGGTTCCCTCGGAAACCCTCGACCCCCCCCACACGAACGCCGTCATTGGAGCTAGCGTTTCACACAGAGGATCAGAGGTGGGCGTTGCATGTTCGCGCCTCTGCGTCGAGGAAGACTCCGCCTAGGTTAACCACGGTAAAAACACGCAAAAATTACGGCCGCAAATGACAAAAGTCAAAGGAGCGAATACCAGCATACACAGCAGTGACACTCGATACAGCAGCGATTATGTTTGTTTTCCGCAGCTCCCCCGCGAAGTGCCAGCAACAGCCTGTTAACTACAGCAGATACCAAATTGCATGGCAGTGACGCCCAATGTGATGGCATTCCGTTTTATTCGTCCATCCCGAAACAAGGTGTTCAGGCGCCACGCCCCTCCACATGGAGGAAGGCTCGACGAAGACGAATCACCTGGGGGCAGAACGCCTTGCAAGCTCCACGCATTCCCTCGTGGTCGTCAGCCGTGCCGGCACCTCCTCTCGCCGAGATCGTGAGCGAGCCCAACATGAGGTCCGGAATCGAGGCCGCCGACTATGGACGAGAGCTTTAGAAGGTGGGCCCTACCTTTATAGATTAGGAGTGCCGTCGTTCAGCTACGGCGAACATTGTGGGGGGGATCCGTAGCCGTCAATTGTGTGCACATAGGATGTAGGCGTTGGAATGTATACGTTGACATGGTTGATGTCCGTCTCGCAGTCGGCTGTGGACGTGCTTACAACCAACCTGTTAGGCCTTGTAGGGGAAGCCTCGACTGTCGGAATTAGCCCTACCGTACCACAGTAGTTGGCCTCCAAAAACAAGAGCGTACGTTTAAGTCTCCCCTTCCCCGCCTTGCCCACATCACGGCGAAGGCGCAGGCGCTTCAACGTCCACCGGTATCACTGCCGATGTCTCCAAATTCCTTCTGACCCAGTGCTCGTTTGCTCATACTGATGTGGTCTGGACTGACAACAATCGAATCTGCCTTCCACGCATCCCCCTTCCCACCCACCCCCCTCCTGTGCCCAGCTCCTCCCCCAGTTCATCCCCCAAGTTCCTCGCCCATGCGAAGAGGCGCACGAAAGAGCTTGCCCAGGGGCTCGACGACACGCCGGAGGTCTTGTGCATCGACAACGAACGGTGACCTGCGTTCCGCAAGGTCATCTCCACCGCCAGGGGGGAGCTCAAGAATCTCCTTTCTTTCGGGAGTAACCGCACGATCACCGGCCAGGAAGCGTCCATGGACATCATCCCCCACGTGACAGGAAGATACAAGGCGCGCCACTGGAATTCGTCGTATACGTTGGTTGTCGTATTGATGTTTCCCGGGGTATGTGGCGGACTCGTGATTTGCGCGTTGAGTCGTTCCACGGTAGAGGCTCGAGCTGATGTGTGCCCAAACTCATCACAACCTTCCTTCTCACCACTTCTTGCCACCGATCCTTTGGTTTACACCACCTGCGAGTTTGTCAACGCTCCCGCGATCGCAGTTGTTGTTTCACTGTATTTTTCCCCCCCACAGCCCCATGGTGGGTTGGTTTTGGAGTTTGGGTGCCGTCACTGAAACGATCGAAGCCCCACACAGCGTACGCCTACGTGAAAACTCCCGTTTGAACCTCCTTGCCCCGCCCCTCACGCTCTCTGCAACGAATCGTCACAGCAGGTGCTGCTGCCGGACTTCTTCGTGGTTGATTACCATGAATAAGTCTTCGCCGCTTTCAAGCGTATGGATGGGATGGCTCCGCCCGACCTGTTCGGCGGGCGCAAGTTCAATGCTCTCTTCTGTGAGGTTTTCTCCCAGGAGCTCGGAATTCGTTCCCAGGACTTGGTCGAAAAGGCCAAGGCCTTTATCCAAGAGACGCTCGGAAAATTATGCGATTACGCCTGCGCCGCCCTCGCCCTCCTGCTCAACCAGCTCGAGACCAACCTCGTGGAGCAATTTGTTGAGAAGCACGATGACCACTACATACATCATTAGTCAGCGCTGACCAATGGTGTAGTGGTCATCGTACTTCTCAACACAATTCATAGACTCGAAGCAGGCCAGAGCGAAGTGCACCGTGGACGACATTGTCGCGGCCGAGCCTGGTGGGTCTTCACCCAGGACCAGTCGTACAAAGACACCATGCGCCAAGTCAACAATATGGTGACATCTGTCCGCACGGGCATTGCTACCGGCGACTTCGTAAAGACTGTGGGCGATGTTCTTGGACACTTGATCAAGACGATCGTCAACTCGACGCGATCCGCGATCTCCAGGTTAGTGTTGAAACCGTTGTGACTCTCGCCCGGTTTGCGTGTATTCTTGTGTTCCATGAAGTTGCGATGTCAATATTGATGGATCCATCGGGCACGTTTCAGAGTGAAAGAGTTTCTTTGAGGTGGTGTAGACAATAATAGTGCTTGTTTGCGGTGGATATCGAGGTAGTGTTGTTGGGGGCCGCAGGCGGACATGGCGTAGGACCAGCATGCACACATCACTCTCGCCATTCTCATCATCAAGGTAATCACACCATTCCGAAGCTATTCATGCTAGAGAGTTTGTTTGCCCATACCGCCCAAATGAAACGAGGGAAAGAGGAAAACCTGCCCCCATTGCCACACAAACGTACCACACCTGCCTACCCTCTCGAGGTTCGAGCACCTCAGAAGCTTCGAAGTAGCAACAAAGTGCACACGTCTTGCCACCAGCGATATGAGCCCACTGCAAACGATCTCGGACGAAAACAGGTGATCCTGCACACGTACAGCGACGTCGTCTGCAGGCGCCTCTTCGACACCATCCACAAGCAGGTCCACCTGTTTCTCGTGGATGACATCTGCGACGGCTTCGTGGCTTGGATGCTGTACAAGGTGGACGAGACCGACCTGCAGAGGTGGCTGGCCGAGGACGTGTGTTCCCAGCGCAAGCGCAAGGAGCTCAAGGGCAAGCTCTCACAGTTCGAGGATGCTACCAGTATCCGCAAAACAGCAGGCTGACGTAAACCCCAGACCGTGCCCTTGACCTGTCCAAGAGACAAACGGAAGAACGATACCTTCAACTAACCCTGGCCGACTGCAATAATAAGTTAAGTTTACCGTCTTCACTCTTTTTAGACGGAGTGCACCGAGGTGGTGATTCGGTGTATGACAACGGCATCAACTAAGCGATGAGCCACAACGCTGTGTAGAGCTATTTTCCTATGCCTGACGTCGGACGAAGAAATCG